AACTAAATAGGGTAGATGCCTAATTTTTATTTTAATGCCGGTCTGGTAGATTACTTTAAATCATTAGACACATATTTTTGATTTTCTTACAGACTTTCGACGATATATTGATTTGAAATGTCGCGTGACGTCACTTCTATGTATATTTTATACGCAGAAATGACGTTTTAGCCCCCACTCCTAAACTTTGATTCGTTTTATCTATGTATTGTTTTATTATATGACAAAAAAAAATACGTGTCTAATATTTTTCATTACCTAACTTACGGACTAATTAGATTTTTAATTTTCATACCCTGGCATCATCCCGATTGATTGCCCATTGTCCTACTATTTGTTCACATGCTCCGGTTGCCGGGAAGCCATAAACCAAGATCCGAAAACCAATACGTATTTGTGAAATCATCCCTTATTCCCTAAATAGTAACCCCTAACTACCTCACAATAGGAGAGGTAAAAGTTTGTTAAGGCTGATTTTTAGTCACACGCTGACCGTCAGCGCTCATACCTCAGCGCGTAGTTTGACAGAGGACAACCAAGTCGTAGCTTTATCCGTCAAACCAAAGAACACTTTATTCTAAAACGCTTTATAGAGGTAGAAGTTCAATCATTTCGGTTGTCAGCGCTGACGGTCAGCCTGTAGTCAGCGCGACTCTAAAACCAGCCTAAGGGTTAGCATTGTCAGTAAGAGTATGGTACTCTCTCTTGCACCACCCAAGGCAGTAGAAGTCATTAGATGATTGTCCCCCCTCAAAAAAGGATTTGCATCAGCAACGGTATTGGTCGTGTTGCAGTTACGTTAGTCTTTGGTTGTATGGTAGAGAAATCGTGCGTGCAAAACCAATGCAATGAGGAAGTTGCGTTGCATTCCGTCTACCTGTGTTACTGGTTAACTTTATTGATTCATTCGTTAGTTAGTAAATTAAGATTTTAAGTAAAATGTATATTGGAAATATCAGTATATATAATCGGATCGTTTGTGTTATAACTAATCGTGAGTTAGAATTGTGAAATACTTAGAAATTAGTCTTTTTGGAGAATAAAGGTACTCTTACTAAGCAATTATACTGTCAAAAGGAAGATACAGTAAAGGTGGCTTTGTGGTTTCTCAGTCATTGGAAAATAGGTTACAGGCATTTTTTTTTAAACAGTCACAACGGCAGAAATCCTTAAAATCCAAAAATACAAAAAGAACGGCATATACGGTTATCATGTCATATCATGTACAATCGACAATGTTGGCGGTCGACCATCATTAGGCGATTGTATTGAGCGACCTCAGGGAAAAGGGCGGTAGATAGCGATAGCGATTTTGCGACGAGTTTTTTTACGGTAGTACTACCGTAAACTTTACCGATAGTACATATAGTAATTAACCCTTTGAGTACCGTCATTATAGACACAATTAAAGAACAATAGGTTGCGGTCACCGGTGTCCTCGCGGTGTTTGACAGTTTTGTTTTCAGTAGTCAATGTAGGTCAGTACAATGTGTGTGGGTCAATGTTTATTGAATTCAATAATTATACTGAATTCGTTCTTGATATTAATTCAATAACTTAATTTACAATTACACCACAAATAAGTAGTGTGCCTGTTGTTACATGTATTTAAAGTTAAATGTCAAGCATTTGTTTCAATAACAATTAAATAATTACACGCGTTTTTATAAGCCAAGTAATACTTACATGTCGCGGAGAACCTAACGGGTTACCGGGGCACCGGCTCGACGTGCAGGAGAAGGAACGGGGTGGTTTTTAGTCAGTAAGAGTCTGACACTCCCTCCCGCCTCACCCGGGCGGGAGAAGTCATTGGATGAGTTTCCCCCCTCAAAAAAAAGGTCCACCAACAGGCAGGTAGTTATTACAATTTTAAGAAAATATTGTAAAGAACACATGCGACCTCTAGGTACCTATCCTAATTTATTGTTTAAGTCTAGAAAGTCTAAAAAATCTTGTTGTAAAAATATTTTATCTAGGCAAATACCTACCTACGTACCTAAGTGACCTTCAAAATTGTCCGCTTATTTGACCTGACTATGTTTTTTCTTAAATTTTGCATAAATATGTAATTGGGAACCATTAGGTACACTTAAAATATTTACATAGAGAAAAATATGACGTTACTTTTGCTAGCATCTCAAAGTCAAGGTCTTTTATTGCAGGTGCATGTAATTGTAATACTCGTACGTAATAAAATGTATTTAGGCAGTAGTATAAAAAACTTAGTAAGTAGATTAGAAAACAAATAAAGAACAAAATAATATAAGTAGACCTTAGAGGTATTCTTAAAAACCTCATCATCGTCAACAGCCTATAAATGCCCACTGCTGAGTAAAGCCTCTTTTCACATGGAGAAGGTTAGAGCATTAATCACCACGCTTGCTCAATGCGGGTTGGCGATTTCAAACTTATAATTAGAAATTATAAGCCGAGGTTTCCTCACGATGTTTTCCTTCACCGTTTGTCAGTGGTGTCTAACTAATCTTAGAAAGTACATATAATTTGGAAATAGTCACATTGGTACTTGCCGTTGGTACGTTTCGAACCCGCACCCTCACGCATGAGAAGCAGGCGTCTTAAACCTCCGAGCCAAAAACCTAATATTACTAATCCCTTAATTAAACAATACTTTAGACCAGTAGCTTCATCAGTCAAAACCGTAATAGTATGACCAATCAGCACAATTGTGGGCTTTCGCCTCACTCTGAAGAAATTTGCTACTGACAAACAACTTGCTAATTTCTTGGTCAATAAATATATTAGTACGAACATAGGTACTTGATTTTCACAGTTTCGTAAAGAAATATTACCTGCTCCTATTTATTACTTCAATACGAATATTTAAAACTTCAATTACATAGCGGACATTATAATTTACATCGCTAATTGCCATAACACTATGCATGGTATCTATATATTATCGCTAGCGACCCGGCCTGGCTTCGCACGGGTGCAATATGCATGTATTATACATAGAAACCTTCCTTAAGAATCACTCTATCTATTAAAAAACCGCATCAAAATCGGTTGCGTAGTTTTAAAGATCTAAGCATACATAGGGACAGACAGACGGCGGATAGCTACTTTGTTTTATACTATGATTATGACTGAAAACCGGTCTTTTCATCGACTGAACTAATGCAACTGAAGACTGTGGCACCTGACTACTATAGACTTACACACACACATCGACACGAAGGACATCTGTCGCGTGTCATGTGTCATTACACTTCATACATTACGGTGTTGCAAGTACACGCACACATAAATACACCACTTACATTTTGGTGCTTCAATCATTTCTAAGTGACATTACGTCTGCCTTTTTTTAATGACCTTGATCAAAGCAAAAATGCTTTACATCTCTAATCATAACAATATAACATTATCCATAACTAGCTACTTCCGCGCGGTTTCACACGCTCTACTCAGCTCCTATTGGTCGTAGCGTGGTGTTTTATAGCCTATAGCCATCCTCGATAAATGCACTATCCAACACAAAAATAATTATTCAAATCAAACTTGTAGTTACGGAGATTAGCGCGTTCAAACAAACAAACAAAAAAACAAACTCTCCCGCTTCTAGTATAAGAGTATAAGATATATTCTGTACTTTCCACTGCAAATAAAATCATGTGGTCCGTATTGATAATAATCAGTGATCGGAAGTACAGAATTAAACTCTAATCCAGAATATAAATAAAAAACGGACGATGAAGATTATTTTGTGAGATCATCACGATAAACAGATTATTAAGCACCCATCAAAGTCGAAAAGTACAGTACAAAGTTCACGGTAATAACATCTTGATTGTCTTATGTCGGAATACTCAAACGCTACTCAATTTTAAGTCGTGCTTAAGTATAGTTCTGTCTCTACAAATTCTTTGTAAAATGACAGAGATGGCACGATATTTAAGCACGACTTAAAATTGAGTAATGTTTCAGTATTCCGGCTTCCGGCATTATTTAGTCAAATGATCATAAAAGTGACTGCTGATCCAAGGACATCAGATTTGACTTGGACCAACAACATTGAGTTTTTTGACTGTAGTAGATTTGGTAGATTTGGTCGCCTGCTCGCCTACCTAGCGAAGCGTTTTATTGGGGACAGAGTGTTTAGATATATTTTGGGATGGATTTCTAGAATAGATTTTTCTGGTTTCTGGGTAGCAAATTCCCAATAATAATAAGAATTTTTTATGTGTAACTACACAGTACACACGTACCTATATTTATCATGTATGAGAATAGGTTCCACCAAGATAACATAGACATGTAATCGTTTTTCTTCTGATTTGTTTTGTTGCGGAATCCAAGGCAGTTATTCTTGTCACTGGGATGCGTCGGACTGCAGTTTTTAGGTGTTTTCATGGTTGTATCTACTGTAGATCCTGGCTTGACAGAAATTAAAGGTTTTGGGAGGTTGTGGCGGACTTGCCCCGCCCCTCCTTGACTTAATATACCTATCTACTGAATAGAAACTTTACTGGCAAATGATGGTTTTCTAAACACAGTTGATATGATCCTAAAATATTTGTGCTATACAAATGACTGGTTGCCGTTGCTATAAACTTGTGATATAAGTCGTTGCTTTTATTTACCGATTTCAAATAAAAGGATGAGACTATGTTCGGCTGTTTGTTTTTTTTGTTCGCGCAGTACTCCGCCATTTAAGAACCGATTTCCAAAATTCTTGTTTTGTTTGAGAGGGTATACTTTCTATACTTATGTATACTATCCATGAATTTTGTTGACTGTAAAATTAAATCAATTTAGGATCCTAACAAGCTAAGACTATAACTGCTGTAGTTATAAAAAACAGATATAAGGACTTTTTCGATATAATAATGTAAAATATGCTTATCTACTTATCTCATTTTACAATGTAATTATTTTTGTAGGAGCCCCCTGAGCTGAGTAATCTAATCATTCATTATCGCGTAATTGTCGTCGATACAATATCGGCGCAGTCAGTGCAAAGGTGACCGTCGACCGAAATGGCAGACCCGAAAGTGTGCGAAGATCTTGTAAAAGAAAGAAAAAAATGTACCTTCGATGTAACGGAACTAACCAATCTAATTGATGGGGGAGCTCAGGGCACTGAGGAAAGGCATTATGTTGGTAAGTAAAGCAACATTTGATTTACCATTAAAAAAAAAAAAGAACTCGCAAAATTAAAGAAAAATCGCACGTACGCATTAATTAGCAGCGTTGTTATTTTTGTATTTTTATTGTAACTGACTTGACGACAGTTTTTGGAGCCAATGTTCTGTCAGTAAAACAATCAAATTACGCTTTAAAGTTAAATACAATAAGTTTCTTTTCAATTAAAATGAACACTAAAAATGCAAAATGATACAAAGTTCTATCTATACTTTTCCAAAAAAAAACAAGTATGACAACAAATAAACGATTTCATTTAATTTCAACGACATTTTGGTGAAAAAATCTTTCGCAAATATATCGCTCTGTAGTCGACAAGTAAGTTAACAACAAGATGAATCTTGAATTGATGACACGTTTCCTTTATCACACTGGCGGCCGTCGGTCGTACTTTGCCCCTATAAGTATATGTGTATATCTGTTTATAGATATGTTTGTTTGTATTTGCAAATATTGATAGGTACACGGGTACTTGTATTTACTGTACTGATAAATGAATGAGTGTTCGATTTTGCAACAATTGTTTATTGAAATATTTTACTTTATGTAGAGTTTTAAGTTTAAGAGTTGCAGAGTCAAGCTTTGGCACGAATGGGTCGGCTCGACCGGAGTGATACCACGGCCTCACAGAAAACCGACGTGTAGTAACGCTTGCGTTGTGTGAGTGAGGCTACCGGAGGTCCAATTACCCCCCTCCCCAGTCTCCCCAATTCCCGAATTCCCAACAATCCTCGACGTTAATTGCTTATCATCAGCTGAACCGTCTACTCATTTACCGCCTTATCCCATAAAAAAGTGTATTTTCTTGTTTCCAATGCCTTCGTGTCTATTATCAATGTTTTGTTCGGTAACAGAATGTTCACGATATTTCCTTTTTATGACGTAAAGAAGTACCTACGTATTAAAAATTTGGGTAAAACGTAATAAGCTAATAGATAGAGTTCAAACTTCGATATTCCTTCAATAGTTTACTTATCTGCGGTTTTATCTATAAGATATCTTCGCTAATATGTTAATTCTTTTACAATATCTTATTGTTGTACGTTGGATAACACATTCTTAGATAGGTCTAATCCTTGTTTTCGTAGTATTTGCCCTTAGTTCATAGTTCATTTTACAATTTTTTTCTTTCACGAATTCGTTTTTATAATTGTTGCATTTTTCTGACTGCCTCATTGGCCGAGTGGTCGCCAGTGTGACTGCCGGGCAAGGGGTCTCGGGTTCGATTCCCGGGTCGGGCAAAGTATTACTGCATTTAAAAAAAATCTCAGTAGTAGCACGGAGTCAGGAATTGTGCCCGGTCTATGGCAATAGGCTCACCCCCTATTACATGGGACTCATAACATAAATAGTGAAAAGTGGGTGATACATTGTACAGTGGCATAATGTGCACCTCTGCTTACCCCTTCTTCTTTATGTTATGTAATTCTTGCACTTTTACATTTATATAACTTTCGTGATCCATTCCTACTATATTAATTACTATGTCTAACGGCTTACTTACTAACTCTCAATTAGTAACTCGACTAGTTTTCTAGAAGATGCTAGAAGCTATGACAGGGGTTCACATCCATGAGCACACACCAAACATTAAACATTACATTACAAAGCATACATCGTAGTTACAGCCTTTCTTCATCCACCCTTTCCCAATAATGTTAGGATATCTGTATGTCAGTCAGTATTTTGTATGAAGCGACTACTACAACTCGATAAGGACTACCACACATTTGTTTACCTGCGAAGTTTGAAGGTTTTTTTATGGCATAAGCCGGTAAACGAGCAGACGAATCACCTGATGGTAAGCAATCGGCGTCGCCCATGGACACCTGGAACACCAGAGGCGTTACAAGTGCGTCACCGGCTTTTTGGAGATCAGGAGTTTGAGGATCGTTGGGATTCAGAGATTGGGGAAGGGGAAGGTAATTGGGCCTCCGGTAACCTCACACGACAAAACACAACGCAAGTTGCTTCACGTCGGTTTTCTGTGAGGCCGTGGTATCACTCCGGTCGAGCCGGCCCATTAAACCGAGGTACCACATTCCTGATCGTTTTGAGATTGTTTTGTAATCAATGTCTTTTAAAATTTTCCAGAAAACTTAGTGCTCAGTACAGAAGGATTGAGCACAAAGAATGAGGTTCCAGAAGAATATCTTAGCCATAAAGAAAGATACGAGTATGCCATCAAGAAAGCTTGCATCTTGTATGAGGTTCTCAAGGAGTATGCAGCTAAACATAACACCATGGATGCGTTCAAGTAAGTAAAGATAACTAGCTTGGCTCATGAAACATTAAAGTGTGGGAGAGCCATGCTTCGGCACGAATGGGCCGTCTCGACCGGAGTGATACCACGGCCTCACAGAAAACCCACGTGAAGCAAAGCTTGCGTTGTGTTTCGTCGTGTGAGTGAGGTTACCGGATGCCCAATTACCCTCCCCTTCCCCGATCTCCCCAATTCCTGAATCCCCAACGATCCTCAAACTCCTAATCCCCAAAAGGCCGGTAACGCACTTGTAACGCCTCTGGTGTTCCAGGTGTCCATGGGCAACGCCGAATGCTTACCATCAGGTGATCCGTCTGCTCGTTTACCGGCTAATGCTATAAAAAAAATGGTAAAAATAATACCTTACTTTTAAGGCGTCTAAAGTTTTGATCGCCAAACTACACAACAGACACAAAAATACTAATTATATGAATATTTCGGTTGTAGTTAAATAAAATGCATTGATTGTGATTAAGTCGACAGAAGACTTTGAATCAACATAAAATTCTACTATATTCTTTTGTGATGTAAGTATTAAATATACTTTTATTAACGTTGAACATAATTTTCTCATAACAGACCCACAAATAAGTACCGTGTGACGTTCGGTGTGGTAAAAGACATATCGCCGTTCATGTTACACATGGGTATGTTCGTGCCGACCATACTGAACCAGTCCGACCCTGAACAGATGGCCGAGTGGCTGCCGCAAGCTATGTCTATGGGAATCCTGGGAACTTATGCACAGGTAATTCAACACCAAATAGTATTACAGTGATGTTTATGGATTGAGCTGGTTGTATCTCTCCCTAGAATCATTTTGCCACGTGACAACATGGTTTAAGATCTCTCTCTTCTAGACTAGTATATCTCATGGGACATGGTAGTTATAAAGCTTTTTAAATCGTTTCCATTATTTGGGATTATCACGTTTTTGCTAATACTGCTAGTATTTTATGGTGAAGTAAATTCTGATTTGCTGGTGAAAATTCTTTCAGACTGAACTCGGCCACGGAACTTTCCTGAGAGGATTGGAAACGACAGCTACATACGATCCTGCCACAGAAGAATTTGTGCTGCACACTCCTACCCTCACTGCTTATAAATGGTGGCCCGGAGGATGTAAGTAGACCAAACTGATTTCTATGATGTAGGTTATAATTGTAATTCTCATCTCATTCAAATTTTGTAGGAAAAATATACCTATATTACTGGATAGGTAATTTTTCTGGAAAACGGTATTGTTATTGCACTCAAATGGTAGAATAGTAGAGTAATAGTATTTGTCACTATCATATCGATAATTACAGTAAAAACAACTATTTTTGTGTGATTCTTCTTCTAATAATGTATGTTTTTCCTCTTTAGTGGCACATACAGCTAACCACTGCATTGTAGTAGCCCAGCTGTACTCTAAGGGCGAATGCTATGGCGTCCATCCATTCTTCGTCCAAATCCGTGACACCGACACCCACATGCCTCTTCCTGGTGTGAAAGTGGGAGAGATCGGACCCAAGATGGGTTTCCAGACAGCTAACAATGGGTTCTTAGGATTTGATCACTTCAGGATTCCAAGAAGGAGCATGTTGATGAAGAATGCTCAGGTCTTGAAAGTGAGTTGACAGTTGACTTGATTATTCTACTTTATTGTTTTAGTGCTTGTCAGTTTCACCGCTAACCAACTAACTAACAGCTAACTACGAGTTCTCAGGCTTGATCTGCGACGACTATCTTATTGGGGATTTTGCCGTTTTGTAACTTCGTATACAAAACTGTCAAAGGGCAGGTTTCCTCAAAATGTAATTAAGAACTTGTAACATTATTGGAACCTATTATAAATTCGGCACCATGATTAAATTCGTCTCAATTTTCTACCTTGTGATATTAAAGACATATTTTTATATGTTTTAGGATGGAACATACGTAAAATCTAAAAACGATAAGCTAACGTACGGCACTATGGTGTTCGTGAGAGTCCTCATCGTTACTGATGTGGCATACGAACTATCAAGAGCTGCTACCATCGCTGTCAGATACTCTGCGGTCAGACACCAGTCACAACCAAAACCTGGGTGAGTACTTTGATCCCGTTAGTCGAGAAAAAATTAGTAAAGTAAAACGACTGTCGTAGCTCTGTTGGGTTATTTTAAATTAAAACAGAAGACTGCACAATTAACTAGTAGGTTTAATTATTACAAATCAGAATCAAGACCGGCGAGCACCGATACAAAGAAATGCCCGAAAGCTTTGGCGTGAGTTGGCGGAGTGTGTGGATGAAGAAGCGCGGCGCCCGCGCGGCCGTGGGTTTTTATACCCCCGTCCCGCGCGTCGCCGCCTCTATGGTCGATGGCCATACTAATGCGCCGACAACGATCAAATGGCATTGTTTCTCTTGTCGTCGTATGAACATGTTTTCTAAACATTTTTGTAAAAAAACTTATCAATTTTTCCAGTGAACCTGAACCCCAGATCCTGGACTACGTGACACAGCAACACAAACTGTTCATCGGAGTAGCCACCAGCCATGTGTTCAGAGTAACGGGTTACTGGCTCTGGGACAGTTACTCCAAGGTCATCGCTGACGTCGGCAAGGGCAACATGGACCAACTGCCTGAGGTTAGTGACTAGTACTGATATTAATTAAATAAAGGCAGAAGGTTCTATGGAACTAATTGTTGTATTTTGAACTGTAGATAGATTTACGATGTAGATTTGCACAACGAAAACTAGTCAACCGATTTTACTTTCCTGAGTTTTCAGTACCTAGTAGTTCTTGTGAGTCGGGCACATATGGCGATAGGTCATGCTAAACTTTACCAGAATGTGGTTTTTAATATCCATCGTCATCGGTCTTGTAATCGCAAGCATATGATCCTATTATTTACTGACAACCATCTGTATTGGTCGAATAAAGACATTTTGTGGACTTACAAGTAATATACATACGAGCATCCCCAACGCCTGTCTAAGTAATTATAACTCCCTTCTTCCAGCTCCACGCCCTAGCATGCTGTCTGAAGGCTGTGTGCAGTCGTGACGCGACAGCACGTGTTGAGGAGTTCAGGCTCGCGTGCGGCGGGCACGGCTTCATGGCATCCTCCAACCTGCCCATCATTAACGGCATTGTGTCCGCCACGATCACCTACGAAGGGGAATACACCGTGCTCATGTTGCAGACTGCGAGGTTTGTCATCACCACTATTGTTATAGTCAGTTGATACTTTATCTGCTACTAGAGGTAGATGAGATTACAGAAATAACATGTCTCTGTAGATTCGTTACAATTTAGAGATTAGAGTCTGATGAAGATGGTAGAGTTAGTTAATATGTCCATTAGCAATCTTATTGAATGTCATGGTTGACTTCTCTTTCGGTCAGGGAAAGGTATCATTATATAAGTTTGAATATTAGAACTAATTCACATTATTTTTTTCAGGTTCCTTGTGAAGGCTTGGAAGCAGGCGACACTGGGTAACGCGATGACACCAACAGTGTCATACTTGTTGCGATTCTTCAATAACGACCGCGTGCACTGGGAGACCAGCCCCGAGGGTATCGTTAGCGGTTTCCTCGCCATCGCTGCAGGGTAAGGGCTTCTTCATCATTCTTCATTCATCAGGATAAACAAAACTAATCAGCTACTTTTAAAGGCTGGGATTGTTTGAGCTTTCTGAAAATTTCTTTCGGTAAGACTTTAAGATACTTTGTCAATTAAATCACGAAAATATGTTTACGATAGAAGCAATTATTTGCGTTTCATATTTCGTATTAAGTGTATTCCAGATATTTAAGTTTCATTTGTCATACAGGAAGACCAAGGCTGCCTGTGAAAGTCTTCAGGAGTACGAGAAGAGTGGCATGGACTACGAAGACGCTTGGAACAGTGCCTCAGTTCAGCTAGTTAATGCCAGCGAGGTATGTTCTAAAGTCTATACCTAAGTTACGCCTTAGTTTAATACAAAAGTCCCATACCATACCAAATACCATATTTTTCAATTTATTGGTGAGCGCTCAAGAAGTTCCAAATATTTATTGGGTCCTGATTTAACATCGTTTTGCGTATACTTATTAAGGTCCCTTTTCACCAAGCTCTGTAAAAACTCAGTTACACGTAACCTAAGTTTAAAGTAACCTAAGTTCTGTGTTCTGTGTTTTCTGTACTGAGTTCCGTGTAAACTAGTTTCTGTTTGTAGCGGTGAAATGTAAAATGAAGCTGTAACTTCGTTTAAACGCTTTAAATTCGATTAGACGCTTTAAATCAGTTTTGTTAGGTGTAATCGTGATCAGTTTCGTTGGTGAAAAGGGACCTAAGTCTTTTGTATTTCTAAGTTTATTACGATTTTAATTTAACATCAAAAGTCATACTGTATCTTGCAATTTTTGGTTAGTTCACAAAAACTTCCACATCTTCTTTTCACGTAGGCTCACTGCCGCGCCATCTTATGTGAAGTGTCGTGGAGGGAGCTCTCTCGTCTTGCAGCGCAGTCATCCCCGAGTCTGGGCAAAGTGCTGCTTCAGATGGGTGAATTGTACCTCATCTATTGGGCTCTGGAGAAACGAGGAGATCTTCTACTGGTGAGTTGCTAATAATAACTGCTTATTTAATTAGCGGTTGAAATAAATAAATGGGCTCAATCCAAAATCTTTGGATGAAAATCGATTTATAACATTATTTTTTAGAATTTCATTTTAGTATAAGATCGTCATTAATTTTTTTTTATGGCATAAGTCGCTAAACGAGCTTACGGATCATCTGACGGTAAGCAATCGGCGTCGCCCATGGACACCTGAAACACCAGAGGCGTTACAAGTGCGTTACCGGCTTTTTGGGAATTAGGAGTTTAAGGATAATTGGGGATACAGGAATTGGGGAGATTGGGGAAGGGGAGGGTAATTGGGCCTCCGGTAACCTCACTCACACAACGAAACACAACGCAAGCGTTGCTTCACGTCGGTTTTCCGTGAGGCCGTGGTATCACTCCGGTCGAGCCGGCCCATGCGTGCCGAAGCATGGCTCTCCCACACTTAAATTTCGGCCATAAGAGGACATCCAATATTTTGTTTTGTCTGGACATTCTATGAAAGATTTTTAGGACTTAGGACACACTTATATGACAAAAAGTGCACAAATTGTAAATTACTAAGTACTTAATATACTTAAGTAGGTAGTTGTATAATGGAGTGAATTTTGGAATATTGGCCTGAAATATAAACATTTATGCTAGGTGTATTGAAGTTTAGTTTACGCAATAGGTATTAGTTTTACGTCTCAACAATGTAAATAATCAACACTTCAACACTAATTATTATACAGCGCTAATTAGCTACGTTACTGTTTTAAAAATGATTGAAATTAATTTTAAAATACCTAACACTAAAGCTAACCTACCTAGGCAAGGCAAAATAAAGGTCTCTGACTACGGTAGAAAGTAATAAGTACCTAGAAGTCAAAGTCAAAGTCAAGAAAGGCACTTTTGAACGTCAAAACAAAATATTTAAATATTAAATAATAAGAAAAAATTACAGTCTGTAGGTCAGTCCTCTAGTGAAGCTGCTCGTTCCAAAGTCTAGATTCCTATGGAGAAGAACGAGCAAGAAACTTCATAGGTTACTCTTTTTCAATCATGTTCACAATACAATTTTTGGTTACATTCTTTCGTTGAGTTCAATAATGTGAGAACAATGTAATACCAATAGAGTTATAAAAACCTGTAATATTTTGTTTCAGTATTCAACAATAACGAGGGCTGATATCGCCAAGCTGCAGGCCAGATATGAAGTCTTATTGGGACTGTTGCGACCCAACGCCGTCGGTCTTGTCGATGCTTTCGATATCAAGGATGAGGTAACCATTGCTGATTATGATTACCATCCCGTGGTATCAAATTCATTAAGATCCTCAAAAATCCGCCCTTTTGGGGATAAAACTAAAGGTGTGGGACTCCTATATCATTAAAACTATCTTAGTAGTCACCATCAACGTCTATAAGGGGCAAAGGGTCCTCTAGATAGATCAGCTTTAAAATATAAAAACCTGGTATTGTTGAAATCTGCTTCTTCTACAGTCAACCAACAATTTTATCATTAGAAGGCTGTTTTCTATTTCCTTTTCTCGTTAAAAACGTAAAACATTTTTCTCTCATAGATTCTAAACTCAACCCTCGGTGCGTACGACGGTCGCGTGTACGAGCGACTGATGGAGGAGGCGCTGAAGAGTCCTCTGAACGCGGAGCCAGTCAACCAGAGCTTCCACAAGTACCTCAAGCCCCTAATGATGAAAGCGAAACTGTGATATTTTATAATATTTAAGAAATATAAAGTACAATAACGTCTAAAATGGTTTCGGATTAAATGACTTTAGCGAATTTCGATTAAGAAATTCTTAATACTTATACGAATTTTTTTTATGTAAAAATGGCACCTACCTTAACATAAGTTAAAGAAGCGGGTGGAAGAGGTAGGTACCCAGTGATTGTTGATGAACACTTTTTTATTTCTTTTTTTTAAAACGACTTTAGTATATTATCTACATTTTGTACGCTACTTATTGTATCTTTTTACAACAATGTTTTAATAATATTGAAATTAGATCAAATACATTATTATCAATTGAAGAAACATGATTCTTTATTTCAAAGACCCAGATACTTTACCTAATACAAACGCGATTACTACTGAAAATCGTAAATACAGAATTGTCATTAGCATTTATTACTAAAGTAGACAAAAAATAAACGAAAAAAGTACATTGCTATTATTATACTTTAAAATCTGAATAATTTTACGCAAACTGGTCGCTGTTATAGTCGCCATCTCTTTAGCTAAATGTATATATTCGCATCGTTGTATGCGCGGAGGTCATTCGCATTGACTGAGCGTCAACAACTCCGGCGCAAGTACTACTTGACTTGTGACGCATGCGCTTCAAATATCAAATTGAACTGCATTGTGTGGTGTGTTCTAAAGTGTGTAAAACAGTGCATTTATAGGTACAAAGATACTTACATATATAAGGATAAAAATAAATTACACAGTAAACATTAATCCCTTGCTATCTTGTAATTGAATTGCAGTGCATAATCTAATCTATGACAGTGCAAATAAGAGTTGTTATGCAAACGAATTCGGTGTTCAATGTCAAATGTTATCCGGGTGCATAATGCATTGATAATAAAACTTTATCGAGTAATTCGATGGTCGTCACTTGCTGGGGACTTAATGAAATTAGGCATTATATGGATATAAGTTGAATAAAATTATTGATGAAGTATAATGATATTGTCGATTCACTGTTCACCTGTAACAATTTAGTCACCTTACGTACGTTGAAAGTACTCGACGGGACGCATATGTATACGGAAACTAGTACAGTTTATTAAAGTTTTTAACATGAGTCAGTTACAAAAAATGGAGGTGAACCCCGATCTGGCGATGGAAAGGGAGAAATGCAACTTTAATATTATGGAAGTGACGCATATTCTTGATGGGGGCGAGGAGAATACGGCGCGCAGAAAGAAAATAGGTAAGTGGACAATATAATAATTAATAAATAATTCATTTAATAAATGATATGATGATATTTAAAAAATAATGACTGCCTCGTTGGCCGAGTGGTCGCAAGTGCGACTGCCAGGCAAGGTTCGATTCCTGGGTTGGGCAAAGTATTACTGGGTTTTTAAGGTTTTGACTGCCAATAGAAAACTGTTGAAAGCAAATCCTCCGTTAACGTTGGTCACCGGTGACCCCCATGGCGTTCAAAAAAAATCTCAGTAGTAGCACGGGGTCTGCAATTATGCCCTGTATATTGCGAGAGGCACACCCCTGTTACATTGGGACTCATAACATAATTAGGGAAAAATGGGTGTTAATTGTACAGTGGCATTAAGTGCCGTAATGTGTATGTATATGGCATTTAATAAAAAACAAATTGGAGAGCGCAATGCTGTCAACTTTTTTTTTTGTGTTTAGACATCCATAGGTGTAGAGTTTTTTAAATATTCAGTTCTTATAGAATTAGAGAATCTTTGATAGTTTAGGATAGCCCCAATAACTATACAGAGTACTGGAGGTTCTAGGATGAAATCCAAGCTGGAGATATTTATAATTTTAAAATAAAAAATTGAACTGAAAGGAAATTAAAGTAAGTTGATAATCACATCACGATATTTAGACATTTAGATGTATGTACTTATGATACGTAGGTTCCTACATTACGTCAATTTTAGTGTAGACTCTAAATGAATTAGGTAAATACTACTAGGTGGTTAGCTAGATGTATGTATTCGTGTTTTAATAATCCTTATTTATTTATTATTTCATATACCTACACCACACAGACAATATTACAAAGGACATGAGGTACATAGGTACTGCATATCCCTCAAGGGATTTTTTCCTGCAGACCTGCGACAGGAAATCCTTCGTCTACTACGCCACTATTGGTAAAGTCACTTACAGTTTTATAGTTTCAAATAATAAAGAAACTAATCTTCTAAACAAAAATAGCAAAAAACAGTACAAAATTGAGACACAAACAAAAAAATGGGTGCAATAAACCTAAATCTCGATTTTTTATAAAAGTAATACAAAGGCCGATATCTTAAGAACGGTTAAGTTTGGATATGGGGTTCCTTAGTTAAATCGGAAGGAAGGAATAATGGATAATATCACCTCTTAAAGGATTTAGGTCGACTTACCCTGTAACCTAGTATAAAGTTCATATTTGAATATCAAACTGTTACTCTGCAGTCATGAGAAAAAACACATTTGAATTACACAATAGTTTACTTTAATAAAAAGATATAGTTATACACACTTTGACTATGTTTATGGACAAGTGTAATATATAATTTAATGTCCTGGACTACACTTACAGTTGCGCGTTATGTTGGTGAAAGACTATGTCGACCCGATCTAGATCAGGAATTTTGGCTGAAAACCAACAAGTTGGGCTAGATCACGATTATATCAGCACCTGAGTCTTAGACTAAAACTGCATCGATTTCGGGAAAATAATCGTATTTATAGCAAATAACTGTTAATATACAATTTTTTGTTTGATGTCAATTAATGCAGTTTTAATATACAGGCAGTTTCGTAATACGGCAAGAATGTAAGCCAGCGATGTAGTAAACATTTTTATTAGGGTTCTAACAGTGCCTTACTTTTTCAAGTAATTCAAGAGATCAGCTGTTTAGGGACAGATTTGGATAGATTTTTGTACATGTTAGTCAAACAAACCTACATTTATTACCCTTTTTTAGGATGATCCTAGAATCAACAATTCAACAACGCCGACAAATAAATTGCATGGTTGATTTAGTGGCTGGGTAAAAAGACTTCTCACTTCTGCATAACGTGTCACGAGTTCGATATACGCACGGAACGTTTTGCCTTTAGTTTCCTCTGCTGAAAGATCAATTTTGGTAGATAGCTTGGTTGGTTGATCATACTAATTCTCCGGAAACATGAGTACCATTATTTTAACATTATGTTTCAAAAATACTTATGACACTATAGTGCGATTTTCGGTTATGTTTGTCGAATAAAATCTACTTAGTCAAATGGTTTAGTAATGTAGCTTTCTAGAATAAATATAAAATGTTTAATCAAAATAATGATTATTATTACAACTGCGTCAAAACATCCTTTACAGAACATACGTCTCCTTCAAAAACTGCGACCGGTTCTATACAATGCTCTTTTATTTTCTTTATAAATATCATTAGTCATGTCATCAGTTATATCATCAGTACCTACTTAGATTTTTTATTTCATTTTACAGAAGACATAGCTTTAAACAGTGGAGCGTCGAAGGACTCCTTTCCAGAAGAACACATGAGTCCAAAGGAGAAGTATGAAAATGCTGTGAGGAAGTCATGCCTGTATGCTGATCTTGTCAAGAATCATTTTGCTCATCTCACTGGATTGGAAACTTTTGGGTAATGATTTTGATATAAATTTAGTCATTCGTTCATCAATTAATTAATATAAAACTCTTCTGGTACTGAGTACCTAACTAAATGATTGACTGATAGACAACGCACAGTCAACATTAACGGACCTAGGAAGATGAAACTTAGCATGTTGGTTACTTGGGCAGAGTAGGTAGGTGAGGAATTCCCTCAGTCAGTCATCAGTTACACACAAAAACGGGAAAATAGAAAATCGCCTTTTTCTACTAACGAAGTTGCTGGCAGAAGTGACTTACGTCATAAGACGAGATTATGGCGATAACGATAAAAAAGATTAGTTTTACAATTAATGCCTAATCAATCAGGGATTGAACCAGAATTTCTCGATTTTGATTGTAGCTATGCTACACACTAAGATTTTCTTCTGTGTCGTGGGTGCGTTTACTAGCGTATCCATGATATCACATACACATGACACCCAGACCCAAAACAACAATTTGTGGATCATACAAAGAGTTGTTCAGTCCGGGAATCAGACCCGCTACACGTTGCGCGGTAGCCAGTTGCTCAGCTATTGCGCCAACCGTGCAGTCAAAAAATGAAGGGTCTAGCCACCATTAAAATCACTGCGAGGTCCGCCCTGAGGACACGGTGGAACACACTATAGGGGCATGCCCTGCGTGGGCTGAACACCGCCGTGCCCTCAGGTATATGATCGGCGACCTCTCGCGTCCGACCCTAATCCGGGCCATGATGCGCAGCGAAGAGACCTGGGATGCCGTCTCCTCCTTTTGCGAAGCAGTCATGCTAGCTAAGGAGGAGGCGGGGCGCGTGCGGCAGCGAAGCGCTGCCTCCTCACAGCCCAGCCGTCGCGAAGGACACACCGGGCGTCGGAAATCGCGGGACGATCCCCGGCCACTGCAAGCACGGGCCTGCGGACGGCGAGCATGGGTGGATTGACCAGACCCAAGCGTACGGCGCGTCGTGTTTCGCGTGCGTCTCAAACAGGCATCAGACCACCACGGATGGGGCCCAATAGGACTGATGCCGATACGGAGCCGCGGAGGACTTAACGGGTTCCGGCTCGAAGGGCAAGATAGGAACGGGGTGGTTTTTAGTTTGTAAGAGTCTGACACTCCCTCTCGCTTCACCTGGCCGGGATAAGTCATGGGATAATATTCCCCTCTTAAAAAAGCTAGCACTAAAGGCGAGATAGTGGCCAAACACCAACCCAATATATAAAAAGTAATTGCTTCAAACTATCTGTTTGGTTTTTGTAGATAGTTCAACATCACTTTGTATGCTTTCTGTTACAAAAATAGTTTTAACGTTTATTTTAAAAATCAATTTCAATTGTAAATGATACACAATAGTGACTTGAAGTGCAGATTGTTAAACTTTGTGAAGTGGTTTATATTATTTACTGACGCAAAGTAATCGTACCTAATATACCTCTACATATTTGCATTATACATAGTGGTATTCAATGTACCTATACATTATATCTGTGTTGAATTGTATCTACATTATTTATTGAGTAAAATAACAATACGTTGTTCAATAAATAATGATCTAAAGAGTACATTGTTATAGTAGTAGAATATAGTCTTCATTACTCATACGTAGGTATGTACCGCGAGGACACCGGTGACCGCAACCTATTGTTCTTTAATTGTGTCTATAATGACGGTACTCAAAGGGTTAAGTAGAAACCGAAATATAAGGCTTATATTAATATTTACATACAAGCTTATACGGCATAAGCTTGTATGTGGTTTCGCCCGTTCCCGGGGGTAATAATTAACCTATGTATTGCCCCAGACTATAATCTACCTCTTAAGTAAAATCGCGGTTTACTCACGTGAATATACTGAGAAAAGCTCTACTAGTTTCAAACCACAGAGGGGTTCTTCCTCATGAGAATTCCCATTCCCAACGCCAGCCAGTAGGCTGCGCGATCGCCGCGCACGCTGCTCATGAGGAACAGAGACTCTACTAGTTTCGAACCACAGAGGAACCCTTCAGAGGAGTTTTTTTCAGTATATTCACGTGAGTAAACCGCGATTTTACTGAATTTAGTATGTCTCACGATAGTTATTATAAAAACAATCTACCTCTGTTTCAAATTTCATGTTGATCCCTTCAGCCGGTTTAATGTGACTGAGTAACAAACATACTCACAAACTGCAATTTTCGCAGTTATAATAGCGGTTCAAGCAAATTTCAACCATCAGTCCTAAGTTACAGCGTAAATTCCACTACGGGCTACCTAATATTGGATAGACTTATATTTACAGTAACTGTGTCTAGGGATCAAGCGGCATAATTTAGTTTGTTTTTTAACATAACATCACGCCTTTTATCCCCGAAGGGGTAGGCAGAGGTGCACATTATGCCACTGTACAATGTAACACCCACTTTTCACTATTTATGTTATGAGTCCCATGTAATAGGGTGTGAGCCTATTGCCATATACCTGGCACAATTCCAAACTCCGTGTTACTACTGAGAATTTTTATTGATGACATTTATGAGAGAGGCTGTCAAGTCAGTGTGTTTTTAGTGTAGGTACTTATTTACTTTCTCGAGATAAAAAGTACTTAGTGTAATGACCAGGATATTAAAGTACAATCATATTAAGTTTCATCGCGATCTGACCAGAAGTTTTTGTGTGATGCGAAGTCACTAGTGTACTTTAGGATCAACTACACAAAGCGAATTTGCCATAATTTTCATAATTGGCAAGTGATCTGGAGAACAAAAATCCAATGTTCTTTTTATTCCATTTCAGAATTAATTCGGGCGTCATCAGGCGCACGGCAGATGCTTTCTTCAAAGAAGTGTCTCCATTTTTACTCCATATGGGCATGTTTGTGCCAACCATCATGGGCCAATGTACTTCGGAGCAGCTGTCCTACTGGCTGCCAAGAGCAATGGACATGCAAATTATCGGGACCTACGCCCAGGTGAGGCGTTGAACCAGGGTTTAGAATTCATTGTCCTAATTGCATTTGTGATTGGTTTGTTGTATATTGTCAGCGATATGTTTTACTTAGTTCATTGTTGTAATGTGAAATTGAATGATTTGTGAAGATTGGTTTTCTGATGGGTTTCTCAGTAACAGGGCTCTGTTTTAAGTGTGTTATGTTAAGCTTTACCTATGCCAAAATTTGTAATTTTAATTTTACTGCAACACATGCGTCGTTTCGCTGTGTCACGAAGTTACGGAATACCGATTCCCCCGTTGCCATAAGACATGGTCCACAGATAGCACTGGTTGCTTACCATGGATCCGTCTGCTAATAATGACTGCACGGTTGGTGCGGTGGCTGGGCAACTGGCTGCCGTGCAACGTGTCGCGGGTTCGATTCCCGCACGAGACAACACTTTGTGTGATCCACAAATTGTTGTTTCCGGTCTGGGTGTCATTGTGTATGTGAACTTGTATGTTTGTAAACGCACTCACGACACAGGAGAAAATCCTAGTGTGGGGCAACGTTTTTAAAAAGTATACAAATATAGAAATTGTCTTGTTTCAGACTGAGCTCGGCCACGGTACATTCATAAGAGGGCTGGAGACGACTGCTACATACGATCCAGAGACTGAAGAGTTTGTTCTGCACAGCCCTACTTTGTCCTCTTACAAGTGGTGGGCGGGAGGCCGTGAGTATTACCATTGTGTTTAGGATAGATTAGATTTTTATGGAAAAAAATATTTTGCGAAGATCAGGAAGTCTTTATTTAGGCGACGCTACCAAGGTTGAAAAAAATGAAATTCAGTGAAATAAAAAACTTTATTGCAAGCGTTATACACCGTGTTAAGATTTCCAACTCACTATTATAAACTACTGTACTGACGACGACATCACCAACAAGCAATGAGGCAATCAATATACATATAGTGCCATTTGAAATAGTGGTACGTGAGTTTCTAAATTAAATCCTCATTCCGTTTTATATTCCAGTTGGAAACACAGCAAACTACTGCATCGTGGTAGCCCAGCTGTACACGAAGGGTGAATGCCATGGTACCCATCCATTCATCGTTCAGATCCGAGATGAGGATACTCACATGCCGCTCCCAGGCATCACTGTGGGAGAAATCGGACCAAAGATGGGATTCAACACGGCTGACAATGGGTTCCTAGGGTTCAAACATTACAGAATACCTAGGGAACATATGATGATGAAGAATGCACAGGTTTTGAAGGTTAGTGGCTATATACTTCGTAAGAGATAGTGTATATGTTTCCCAGCAGTTTTAGGACCAAAGTCTTGAATAAAGTTAACACTGTAGTTTGAAGCACGTGAGAGTAGGAATTGTCAGGAATTTAATTTTATTTGGTCCAAACACCAATTTTCGCTTCAAGGACTTTTACTTGTCTATCCTAAATACTGTCAAAAATATCATATAACTTACACGATTCTGGAAACCAATACGTGCAGCCATTACTTCTAACCTGCGGGATGCAACGCAGTAGCCTATGGTTTCTCATGGTGACCTATGTCATTTCAGGACGGTACCTACGTGAAAGTGGCGAGGCATGGCAAGCTGACTTACGGGACGATGGTGTTTGTTCGAGTGATTTTGGTCAACGAGGCTGCTTTTAACCTGGCGAAGGCTTGCACCATCGCTGTGCGGTACTCTGCCATTCGCAGACAGTCACGACCGAAGCCTGAGTAAGTAGATTTCCTCGTAGAATCCCACTATTCTATCTTACAACTGTCTTACCAAAACATAGATAGAAAACCCCACCAATATTTTGCATGTACTAAGATATTAAGGACTTTAAAGCTTTGCTCGACCAACTAGCCAATGCGTAGTTTTCTTCACTGAATTAGAAATCTAGCAATATATCTTTATATATTAATTCTTCTGAGAGTGTGTATGTCACTGAACTTCTCTCAAACGACTGGACTGATTTTGATGAAATTTTTTGTGTGTGTTCAAGGGGATCTGAGAATGGTTTAGATTCACAAATCAGCCCGGCAGATGGCGCTGCAGTCGATGTTTAGGTTATTTATCCTAAACAGCTGAACTAATTTGAATGAATTTTTGTTTATACATTCAAGGGGATGTGCAGGACAACGTCAGTTGGGTCCGCTAGTATAGGTATAAATAAAAATGTATTTCCGTTCGTTAGTCTCGCTAAAACTCGAGAACGACTGAACCGATTTGGCTAATTTTGGTCTTGAAATGTTCGTGGAAGTCCAGGGAAGGTTTAAAGGTGATAAAATATAATGTTTAGGCGGTACGATGTTTGCTGGGTCAGCTAGTCTAGCAATATATATCTTTTCATGTCTTTCATTAAGATTTTTCACACTTCCTTATAGATATTCTCTCTCATTTCCAGTGAAGCTGAGCCTCAGATCTTGGACTACGCGACACAGCAGCACAAGCTGTTCATCACCATAGCAACCGCGCATGCGCTACAATTGTCCAGCAGTTGGTTGTGGCAGAGCTTCAGCGCTGTGCTTAGTGAAATGAAGGATGGCAACACTGATAAGCTTCCTGAGGTATGGACCTACATATATTGTTTACGACAAAATGTAATTTGAATAATATCTTTGGAGCTTATCCAGTTAAACCTAGACCATAGATATCGGATGTCGTGGTGGCCCGGAGGTTTAAGACGCCCACTTCTCATGCATGAGGGTGCAGGTTCGAAACCTACCAACAGCAAGTACCAATGTGACTTTTTCCGAGTTATATGTACTTTCTAAGATTATCTAGACACCACTGACAAACGGTGAAGGAAAACATCGTGAGGAAACCTGGGCTTATAATTTCTAATTATAAGTTTGAAATCACCAACCCGCATTGAGCAAGCGTGGTGATTAATGCTCAAACCTTCTCCGGGTGAGAAGAGGCTTTGCTCAGCAGTGGGCGTTCATAGGCTGTTGATGATGATGAGATATAGGACACTAGTTCTTTTGTGACTTTACTACTTTTCAGAAGATTTAAAGCTTCTAAAATTTAAGATTTATTAATTCTTCTTTCAGTTCCACGCCCTCTCGAGTTGTTTGAAGGCAGTGAGCACGTCTGATGCTGCATTCTTGATAGAGCAGTGTCGCCACGCGTGTGGAGGTCATGGCTACATGATCTCATCTGGCATCCCGCATCTTTACAACTTCGTGTCTGCTACCAGGACTTACGAGGGAGACTACACTGTGTTGCTTCTACAGACAGCTAGGTTAGTGACAATAATAAACGTATTTTTGATGAAACGATCAACCGAGTTGATCTATGGGTTTTAGTAAGGGTGTAGACACTAGAGATACGGGTGTAGAGACTGCCTCGTTGGCCGAGTGGTCGCAAGTGCGATTCCCGGGTCGGGCAAAGTATTACTGGGTTTAAAAAAAATCTCAGTAGTAGCACGGAGTCTGGAATTGTGCCCGGTATATGGCAATAGGCTCATCCCCTATTCATCTCATTATTCCCCCTATTCGATTCATAACATAAATAGTGTAAAGTGGGTGTTACATTGTTACAATGTACACCACTGCCTACCCCGTAGCGAATGAAAGGCGTGATGTTAGATGTTATGTATGTTATGTTATTTTTGATGAAACGATCAACTGAGTTGATCTATGGGTTTTAGTAAGGGTGTAGATACTATCTCAGTGGGATTATAATATCCTAGTATCCATTGAGGTACTCCAGCCAGAGTTTGAAAAAAAATTATCAAAGATTTGCAATTTACTGTTTCTTTAACTAAACATAAATACGATCACTGACCTTGAATTGTTCTTACGATTACTTGCTCTTATTAATTCACTGATTAAAAGTTACTTTAAGTAGCTTATTAGCTACTGCTCCGACATTTTATGTCTCTGTTTTCAGGTTTTTGGTAAAAGCATATGAGCAGGCTGAAGCAAAGCAGCCGCTGACTCCAACAGTTTCCTACCTGACGCTGGCCTTCTCTCGTAAGGAACCTTGGGACAGCAGCCCTGCAGGCATCGTCAGATCCTTTCAAGCTCTCGCTGCAGGGTAAGTTTCAATTGATTTATTTATTTATTTATTTACATTAAAATGAAAGTTTACAGCAAGAGCCAAAATACTTACATACTAGGATACAAAAAAGAAACTTAAACCTATTACAATATTAATCACTTAGATAGTTCCTATTCCTATATTATTGAGATTTATATTTAAAAACTTATACATTAATTTCCGTATGACATACGATATATCGTGGAACACATCTAATTCTGGGTGCTGAGCTATCATCGAGTTCATGAGACCCATCGCTCTTGCCGTTGGTGCTGCAGCACCTCGCTTTGTGCGTACGCCTGGTGGCATAGCAAATAATTTCCTCCGCCTACGCGGTCCCTCTGTGCCATCACCAGCCTCGAGATATCGTTTAGGAACTCCCATTAACCCCACTCGTGCTAGTGTAGTGGGATTATCTACCTTGTTACTGAGGAGTCGATAGTAGTGTACCAGTAATAATAATTTACGTCTTAGTTGTAGGGTATCCAGTCCTACCATCCCTGAGACAAACATTGAAGGATAAAGGTAGGGATAATATCCGTACCTCTTCCTATACACAAATCGAGCGAATTTTCTTTGGATACGCTCAATTAGGATGGAGTATTTTGTTTCGTAGGGGTCCCACACCACTGCACTATACTCTAGCCGACTACGCACATAAGCCTTGTATAAAGTTAGTACTGCTCCAATTCCCTTAAAGTCAAACGAAATCCTCATTACAAATCCCAACATTTTATTAGCACTCTCACAAACATTTATCATATGCTGTCTGAAGTTAAGTTGTGAATCTAAAGTTAGTCCCAAGTCTCTTATTATCTCAACTCTATCTAATTGTCTATCCGATAACTCATAATTGGCAATTATTGGCCTGCGAGCGCGTGTGTAGGTTATAATTTTACATTTTGACCCATTAAAATACAGTCGATTATTGTCACTCCATTTCGCTATTGCGTCTATGTCCTTTTGCAGATCACTGCAATCCGAGATATTTTTAACTACGTGATATAGTTTCAAATCATCTGCAAATAATAAACACTTAGCAGCACTAACGGCCCCTGGCAGATCATTAATCATAATGATAAACTGGGTTGGTCCAAGTGTGCTCCCCTGACTCACGCCCGATCTTGTGTAGTAGCTGTCCGATTCAAATTGTGCCAGCCTGACATATTGAGTCCGGTTTCGCAGGTAGGATGCAAAAAATGTTAGCAACCCAGGGCTAAAGCCAATAGCTGCCATTTTTGCCAGTAAAATATCATTGTCAACTACGTCAAAGGCTTTCCGGAAATCAAAGTAGGCTGCATCCACCTGCCTTCCGGAATCCATCTCACCAGTAACAAAATCTACGAAGTTAATTAAGCTTGTTGTAGTTGATCGAGATCCCTAAATCCATGCTGTTCGTCAGCAGTCAGTAACTGAATCTGCTGTCTTATTCGTTTGTCTAAAATAGACTCAAATATCTTTCCGAAAACCGAAAGTACCGCTATGGGCCTATACCCAGTCACGTCCTTACTAGCACCACGTTTAGGTACCGGAGTAACTCGGGATGTTTTCCACCTTAGAGGGTATTTGGAGGTTATTATGGAAAGGTTATAAACGTATAACAGTGGTTTTAGCAGTACTGCTAAGCAGTCCTTTACTAAATATGGTGGAATTCCATCTGGACCAGCAGCAGAGTGACATTTAAGACGCTGCACTGCACGGCTTAACTCTCTAGATGTTATTGAATTAATCTCTATGCAAGTAGCGTCAGCATTGTTATGATTGAAGTGCATTTTCTGGGCGACTCCCACATCTAGTCTGGGTACTTCTTTATGAAAGACAGAACCAAAGTAAGCAGCAAAAGCGTCAGCTGCCCCCTGACCAGTTACTGTATCACTCCCGTATATGTATTCCTGACAAGTCTGCCTTTGGCTGCGTTTGTCTTTGGTGTATCTCCAGAAATTTTTAGGGTTTGTTTTAATATCTCCCTCAACCCTCTCTATATGCCTATTATAAGCTTCCCTAATCAACAGCTTCACATGTGATCTGTAATATCTATACAGTTCCTTATTAAATAATTTACCATATTTTTTATATTGCACAAAATTGTAATATTTGTTCTTGATATTTTTGATAATTTCCGGAGTATACCATGGCGGATATTTGTACCTTTGGTTTGCTACACTATCCTTTTTTACTGGCACTACATTATTAATACAATTATTTAATTTATAATAAAACTCATGAATAGATAGATCTATATCAGGTTGATTGTACATACTCATCCAGTTAATACTAGCTATCCTATTATAAAGTAAGTGAAAATCTGCTTTGCGAAAGTTCCAACTAGGTGATGATGACGGGTTTCGTCGTGGCTCACGTATTATGCTGTGCGTCGTAGGAAACCCCCGCGAAAGGCTAACAGTGACCAATAGAGGCGGGTGATGCTTTATTATAAGTAAAGATTGACAGCAGTGTTTTTATAATGCCTATTCAATTTAGGCCTTTCATTCAGGATAGGCAAATGTAATAATAAAAAAAATGGCACCAAGTTTTTACTTGTTTTTTTTTAAGAGTCCGTCCTTCGGGGCAAGTCAAAAAGTTAACAATACTTTTATTTTTATTTAAAAAAAACTTTGTCCAACACTAAGAATATCTCCTGTATCGTGGATGCGTTTACAAACATATAAGTTCACATACACATGACACCCAGACCCGAAACAACAACATATGGATCCGCGCCAGCAGCACAAAGAGTTGGTCCGCGCCAGAATCAAACCCGCGATACCTTGCGCGGCAGCCGGTTGCCCATCCACCGCACCAATCGTGCCGTTACTTTATGTGAAAGTTGAAATTCCTTGTTTGGTGATCTACTCGCGACCTCGACCATTACAATGTTCGTAATTTTAATTGGTAAACAAACGGATATGTAGCAAATAGTTATGACATTCAATTATTGTCAGTCCATTCACATTCATTAATAATTTTCGATATACTGTAAACTGTACTTGCATTTTGACGTGACAGCGTCTTATAAATTGGTTTGCCGGGTGACACTTCAAGAAACTGCGTTACGCTCCGCTCACGTTATGCGCTCACAATGAGAGCGAGTGAGTGTTAGCCCGCCTAAGAGCGAGAGAGGCAGACATAAAAAGTGAAAGGCACACCACTCAAAGTCGTTGTCACGTAAAACTTTCGTCAGTATACAGACTTTACAGGCAACCAATTTTTTATTTGTAAAGTCGTGTTTTAAACTTTGTTTCAGAAAAATATCTTCATGTGTGAAAAATATGAGGAAACATATGCGATCGGGATTATCTGAAGTGGATGCTTGGGAGATGTCCACTATACAATTGGTGTCTGCGGCTGAGGTACGTTGTAATTATGTAAATCTAAATATATAAAAGAAAGTCGTGTTAGTTACTCCACTTATAACTCAAGAACGGCAAAATAGATTTGGCTGAAAATTGGTAGGGAGGTAGCTTAGAAAAGAAGAAGAAGAGAAGAAAATAATACCAGAAGACCGACATAGGATACTTTTCAACCAATTTTTTTTTACTTTTTACCGAAAGTCACGAACGGGGACGGGAAAAAATGGGATTACGCGTACGAAGTCGCGGGCAGAAGCTAGTCTAATATAAATGCGAGACTGAACTGAAAAGTGCGATATTAATATTTTGCCTAATTCACGCTCTGCACCCAAGACTTCACTGACTCAGTTGGAGATATTATGACAATTTTGATTTATTAAGTACGTTATTTAATCTCTTTCTTTGCATTATTCAGGCTCATTGCCGTGCTGTGATCTCGGATGCGTACAGAAGTGAAATCATGAGACTGACTGCCAACTCAAGTCCCAATGTGAAGATAGTAATGGAACAACTGTCGACCCTCTACCTTTACTACTGGGCTCTGCAAAGGACTGGGGACTTATTGCTGGTAAAGAGCTTTTACTGTTTGTATAGATGTACCTCAAGTCGTTTGAAACACAATGCTGCAAATGATTAAGATCTTAAAGAGATTAAAAAATTAAGTGGGAATATTTATGTGATCTACAAATTGTGTAAAAATACATAACATAACATCACGCCTTTTATCCCCGAAGGGGTAGGCATAGGTGCAAATTATGCCACTGTATAATGTAACACTCACTTTTCACTATTTATGTTATGAGTCCCATGTAATAGGGGGTGAGCCTATTGCCATATACCGGGCACGATTCCAGACTCCGTGCTACTACTGAGAATTTTTATAAAAACCCCGTAATACTTTGTCTGACTCAGAAATCGAACTCGGAGTCGCACTTGCGACCACTCGGCCAACGAGGCAGTCACGAGTGTGTAAAAATTTTGTGGGAATATCTAGTCTAGACAGATTTCACTCTTCTATAAACTTATGCTTTTTTACAGTACACGTCAATATCGGAGAAGGATATCGTGGACCTGCAATCGGCTTATGAAGAACAGCTTCAGAAGATTAGACCTAATGCCGTTGGTATTGTCGAAGCATTCGATCTTCGGGACGAAGTAAGTATTCCTTTATGATATACGTACTTACATACATTTACCATAGCCCGTCATATGTGAATGAGTTGTACCAACGTTGAAATTGCGAATGCCTCGTTGTCACTTAGAGTGAATACCAAACATGATAATTTGCTTCAAATCTTGGTATCAAGAAAAATACTTAGAAAATCCTTACCTTACTTACCATAGGTACCACAGATAGGTACAATGGGGACCATATCAGCCTGATCACCACTAAGTTAATATTTGCTTGCATCTGATGAGGCTATTCAAGGTCATGAGACGGGTCCCATGATCTTAAATTTACGAATGAAGCGGGGTAATGGGTGGGGTTCGCACCGGCGAGCCAAAAAACATCAAATGCACCACTGACTAGGGATTAAACGGGTTGCATCACTAAGCTGCGACGTTATTGCTTTTTTGTTAGAGACATTTATGGGGAATGGCTTAATATTTTTAGTGGGTTCAAATAATCTTTTAAAATGATCACGCGGATCTGTCACACACTGTATATTAATCAACCATTGCACCATAGCATTCGATTTTATTTATTTTATATGCTATTGTGTTCACCTCTATGTTTATCTATTTATCTATAAGTATTTTCTTGTGAATTTGAAACATTAACTCGGGGTTCATAAAAGTGGTAACCAAATGCTTATTCTTCTTCCAGCTTCTACATTCAACCCTAGGATCATACGATGGTCGTGCCTACGAGCGTCTGATGGACGAAGCTTTGAGGAGTCCTATGAACAAGGAGCAAGTCACCCAAGCTTACTACAAGTACTTGAGGCCGATGATGAAAGCTAATCTGTGATATATTAACGTTATGTTTGATAATGTTGACGTTTTCAATAGTACAAAATGTACACATTTAAATGTGTGTGTTTCCATAGCTCATTCAGGAGTAATTTCCGGTTTGTGTTCTATTTAATTAACGGACTCTTGTGTAGATCATCTGTGTGGCCTGAAAGCCTGTATGTTATTACCAGAAATTCTCCATATTAGTCATTTAGGCAGGTATATGGAACACTTAAAATAAGTTGACTTTATGTCTTTTATTATGTTTTCTCGATAGGAGGCCCAATTTACCCCTCTCCCATTGGGGATTCGGGGACTGGGGAGCAATCTCCCCAATCCCCGAATCCCCTACGATCCTCCCCGAATCACCAACAATCTCTCACCCCTAGTCCCCAAAAGGCCAGTAACGTGTAAACTTGTGTTGTGTGCTTCTCTGGTGTTTCGGATGTCCATGGGTGGTGCCAAAACGTCTGCTTGTTTGGCTTATTCCATAAAAAATACTTCCCTACTAAAATCGTTGTTTGTTGAAAAAGAATAATCCACTCTTGGCCCGTGGACACATAAATTATGGGGACGAGAGTGAATTAAATGGTAATTCTAAAGAAAATAACTCATAAAAGTCGCATCTGAAAGTTATATTTTATAGACTAAACATTTTAGATTAAAATTCCTACCTACGTTGGTGTTGATCTTAAGACTTTTACTGTAGTTCAATAATTTTTTTTTGATAAATTACATTATTATGATAATGCATTGCAGTTGTTTAATGGAAGTGGATTAAGTTAAGATTAAATGATTTATTATTATTTTTATAATCCGTTTTATTAAAAATGTCCTTGTGGGGTAATTTAATACTAATAAAACACTTTTATACAAATAGACATCTATCTATGTTTGAGAACTTAGACGGTGCTCATTCACCTTGAATGAGCATGAACAGATGGTGTATAGACAGAGTGCAGTATTTCTAATCCCGTAATGATTTATTTATTTACACTTTATTGTACACCATAAAAACATACATAGAAAATAAACATAAAAGAATGTGTACAATGATCTAATTTTAATAAAAGTGTCTCGTGGTCAACGCTATCAAATGCCTTTGAGAGGTCACAAAAACACCTATGGCATCCTGTACTTCCTCCCAGGTACCAATTTTTTTTATTAAAGTCACACTGGCGTCAGTTATGCAACGACCATTAGTGAAACCGTATTGCTGATGGTGAAAGAGGGATTTTTTATCAAAATAATGAAGCTTCTGAGACAGCATCAACTTTTCAAACACTTTATTGAGAACCGGCAAAACAGTAGAGGCCAATAATTATTGGGTTCTTTAGTGTCACCACTTTTAAACAGAAGGATAACTTTGCTGCATTTCATAAGATCAGGGTAGGTATACACCGTCGTCAAAGCAATGTGGAGTATTATAAATGAGAGAACAAACAAAACATCTAAATAGGAGCATGAGAATATGAAATTGCTAATAGAAAGTGACCTAGTCACTGAACCTAAACAAGTGGCCAATATTTTCAATGACTTCTTTGCTTCCATTGGAGAAAATAGCTCAAGTTCATGCAACGGCCAACCGGGGATGTCATCTGTATTGAGTCCTACAGAAAACACAATGTTTCTTGGCCCGGTGGATGCTTGGGAGGTGAACAGAACAAAAGTAGTCACGGGTTTGATGAATTACCACTTATGCTATTGAGACAATGTGCGGACGAACTTACTTTGCCGTTCTTCCTACTATTGAACCAATCATTTGAGGAAGGTATCTTTCCTGATTTGCTAAAAAAGTCAGTAATAAAGCCAATTTTTAAAAAAAATATAAAAACAGATCCAAACAATTATCGTTCAATAGCACTCTTACCGACTTCTTCAAAAATATTTGAAAAAGTCATGTGCGATCGTATTTACACCTTTTGTGAAAAATATAAGATATTTAATGAATGCCAGAACGGATTTCGAAAAAATCGTTCTACAACCCTAGCCGTATATAAATATATCCAAGAAGCCCTTAACATAATAAACAACAAAAAATACGCAGTAGGTATATTATTAGACATGACCAAAGCGTACGATAAAGTGCAATATGGGATACTTTTGAGGAAGTTATATGGAATAGGTATGGAATAGGAAAGGCTTACGAGTGGTTAAAATCTTATCTTAGGGACAGGGAACAATTGGTTGAAATAGAATACTTCAACTACAAAAATAACGAAATCGAAAAAAATCCAATCTAATAGTAAAATAATTAATGCCTCAATCCCCCAAGGAAGCGTCATAGGTTGTCTCTTGTTTTTGATCTACATAAACGACTTACCCAAAATGATAGAAGAGCCATGTGTCTTGTTCGCGGACGATATTTCAATATTAGCTTCTTGCCAAAAACACGAAAATGTAGAAGAAATCCTTAATTCAGTGCTAACTAAAAGCAGTAATTGGATGAATGACCATAACCTCGAGATCAACTACTCCAAAACAAAGTTAATAACCTCCTATCCTTATCAAAAAACACCACTACATTTAGATTTTACATTCAAAAACTCAAAATTAGAAACTGTTAGTGAATTTACCCTACTCGGATTGGTTATAGATACACATATAGACTGGAAAGCCCACATACAAAAAACTCACTCAAAGATTGCCAAATTTTCTTACGCCCTCCGTGAAATAAAAAAGACTACAAACTTCCAAACAGCTCTCACCACCTATTATGCTTACGCCTACGCATGGCTTAGCTATGGGGTTACTCTCTGGGGATACAGTACGGATGCACAGACTCTTTTCATATTACAAAAGAAATTAGTTAGAATCTTAGGCAACTTTGAGCAAACAGACAGTTGTAAACCATTTTTCCAAAAACAAAAGATTCTGACTCTTCCCTGTATCTACATACAGGAATCATGCAAATTTGTACGGAAACATCAAGAATTCTACACAAAACGCGAAGATACTCAAACCCGTTTTCAACTAAGACACCGTTCAAGGCTAAATTTACCAAATTCACGTTTAAAAATGCACTCCACAGGTCCTTACGTAATGTCAATTAAATTGTACAACAGACTTCCCACAGTTATAAAAACAGAAGAGAAGTTTAATATATTTACGAGAAAACTAAAACAATTCTTATATGATAAAACATATTACTCAGTCGATGAATATCTTGAAGATAAACTTCTGAACCAATATCTATATATATATAATTCAAAGCTGATTGACTGACTGACTGACATAGTGATCTATCAACGCACAGCCCAAACCGCTGGACAGATTGGGCTAAAATTTGGCATATAGATAGATGTTATGACGTAGGCATCCGCTAAGAAAGGATTTTGATAATTTCCACTCCCAAGGGGGTAAAAAAGGGGATGAAAGTTTGTATGAAACTTTGTCAGTTTTTAACTGATCGGGTTGAAATTTGGCATGCAGATAGATGTTATGACGTAAGCATCCGCTTTGAAAGGATTTTGATAATTTCCACCCCCAAGGGGGTAAAATAGGGGATGAAAGTTTGTATGAGACTTTGTCAGTTTTAAACCGATCGGGTTGAAATTTGGCATGCAGATAGATGTTATGACGTAAGCATCCGCTTTGAAAGGATTTTGATAATTTCCACCCCCAAGGGGGTAAAATAGGGGATGAAAGTTTGTATGAGACTTTGTCAGTTTTAAATCGATCGGATTGAAAATTGACATGCAGATAGATGTTATCACATAGGCATCCGCTGTGAAAGGATATTGATCATTTCTACCCCTAAGGAGGTGAAATAGGGGGTGAAAGTTTATATAAAGCTTTGTCAGTTTTACACCGATGCAGATGAAATTCAGCATGCAGGTAGATGTTATGACGTAGGCATCCCCAAGTAAGGATTTTGATTATTTCCACCTCCAATGGGGTAATGTAGGGGATGAACGTTTGTATGAAGCTTTGTCGTCAGTTTTACACAGATCGGGTTGAAATTCGGCGTGCAGATGGATATTATGACGTAAACGACCCTTTAGAAAGGTTTTTGAACATTCTCACCCCAAAGTATGATACTTTGCCAGTTTTAAATTAATCGGGCTGAGACTTTGCATGCATAAAGTTACTATGACATAGGTATCTCCTTAGAAAGGATTTTGATAAATTCCACCCCTAAGGGGATAAAATAGGGAATGAGAGTTTGTATAAATCTTCTTAGCCATTGAATTTAGAATCATTGAATCTTTTTGAATTACATTCGGTAAAACGATGATTTGGGACCTGGGTAACGTTTGATAGTTTTTATCACAGATGTCCTACGGGAACGGGAACTATGCGTAAATGCCCCAGGACTCTCTAACTCTTCTTAACCACTGAACTTATTTTAGAGAGATTCGGTACAACAATAGTCGATAGAATAGTTTTTATTACTCAAACCTTACGTGATCGGGCACTGTACTGGTAAGATCCCTGCGGGATTATTTATTTATTGAAACTACGATAAATCATTTCAAAATAGGTAAATCTTACTTGGGCACTGAATTGATTCTGGTTAATTCTGTCATAAGTCATTAATCTACGCGGACAAAGTCGCGGGCAACAGCTAGTTTCAAATAAATCTGTTAGTGGGTAATTACATTTTAACTATAACATTTTAATGTTGACTTTATTTAAACTTTAAATCTTGACTGTTTTTAATTTGACTGTTCTTTTGGTGGTATTTTGACTGTTTTTAATTTTTAATTTTAATTTTGAATATAACTTTTTATTTTATTATGATTCTGACTTTGTATTTAATTTTGATTATGATTTTTTTTATTTTATTATGATTATGACTTAGTATTTAATTTTGATTGTTTGAGATTTAAAAAATAACTTGAATCCTAAATACTACAATTTCAATTATACCTTTAGCTTGTATTGCATTTGGTATTAATTCTATTGTATGTTAATTATATTTTTTTAATTCTCCGAATAACATGTCAAGTGTGCTCCCTCCAAAACTTATGTTGTTGTGCCCGACAGGGTTCACATTGTGTCCTAATTATGTTTACCACCTAAGTAATACATGTGAAAAGCAATAAAGTATTGAGTATTGAGTATTGAGTATAGGGCCGGACGCGAGAGGTCACCATCGCCGATCACATCACTGAGGGCACGGCGGTGCTCAGCCCACGCAGGGCATTCCCCACTGTGTGTTCCACCGTGTCCTCAGGGTGGTCCTCGCATTGATGACACCCAGGCGTTTCCTCCCGCCCCATCAGACACAGGTACCTCCCGAAACTTCCATGTCCGGTAACCTCCAAACCTGAGTTAGGCGGTAGGTGAGGACGTCGTAGCGTCTCTCAAGCCACTCCTTAAAGAGGGGAATTACCGCGGCAACTGCAGCGAGCCCAAATTAACTAACACTGGAGTTAGTTAAATCTATTTATTGTAACATACAATTATTGTTAAATGAATTCATTTCCGAGATTTCAAAAATACCGCACAGGGATTTTAGTAGTATAGTGTCCGTTCCCTTGAGGTTTTAGTAATAAAAATTATTTTATGTCCTTTCCCGAGTTGCCTTTAATGACCTCTGTAAGACTTTAGCACATCTCTTAGCTCTATTGTCCATAATTTCCACAGTGTAAGCAATACCAATAATATAAAGAGCACTTTTGATAGTTTTTCGCATTTATATGTTCTGTGATTTTTCGCATATCGGTTTAACATTACCTAAAGAAGAGCAGCAAAATGTTTTATTCATGTATTTTCAAAAACAATTCAAAGTTCAAAGATCAATATATAAATAAAATTAACATTCTTATCAAAAAAAGGGGGACAGAGCAAACGACACATTTTTGGTACGAGTACAACACACGAAGCATAGGTACAACATCAAAACAATTATTAGATAATAATTTAATCAAGTGTCGTAATCTACGTAATATCTTCACAAATAGTTTAATAGCCTGAGATAACAATAAAAACAACAAAGTTATCGACTCGTACCGCATTTTGATAACGCGTCATTCGCTCGAGTAACCAAGGAGGTGGTAATTGCAGGTCTGCTAACTCAATCGTTGCCTCACCACAGACAACACATTCCATTTTCGTAATAATAAAAATGAGCGCGAAAGTGAACGACGATTTGCTGACAGAAAGAAGAAAATGTGAATTTAATGTTGAAGAATTAACAAACTATTTAGATGGAGGTGCCCAAGCGACGCAAAATAGAAGAAAATTGGGTAAGTTTATTCTTTATAACGCAATTTGTTTTAGTAGGAGTATAAATTGACAGAAATAAACAGATACGAACATGTTTTTTATGGTCCTTCAAATGAATCTCAACGTTATTTTCATCTTCATAAGGGCGATTTGAGAATAATTGAACTGCAGTTGAAGGTTATGAGAATTTGTTAAAAATAAACATTATTGTAGATTAAACTTAAAGTATAAACGAATAAGATTGTATTTCAAATAAATAAAGTCTCATTGAATTAAGATAATATATATTAAGCATATAACGGTCCTAAATGACATCGTCCTTAGTTGCGTATTTACGCGATGTCATTTTATTTAGTGAGTGAATAGGTTGCTTATGGGTAGACGGGCTCCATTGTAGGCCGCATCATCGCTTACCACCAGGTGAGATAGTGGCCATCAAATATAAAAAAGTCCCGGAGTTTAGGTTAGTTTAAGCCTACCTATGTAATAAAATATAACTGCCGAGATAACAACTACCACCAAGTTTGCAAACAAAACAAATAATGTTCTATTCAATAGATCTACGTTCATATCGTATGATATAAATGCCTTATCTTATGTATCTCATATAGTACCTACATGAGCTGACTTGGTACTAATTCTACTTTTGACATTACTTGGGGGTTTGAGGGCAACAAGCATTAATAACAGATTAAATAAATCGCTACTTAGTAAGGACTGATAAAACATGTTATCTTTATACTACTCAATTGAATAGTAGATTAGGAATGGCACAGTAAGTCCAAAGTTTAAGTTCAAGGTTTACCTTATCGGAGATATTTATTTTTTTAGTAGCAAAGAGTTGTTTTGCGTGTTGCTTTGTAATATATGTCAGGCGTTTAAATGATAGGAGCGCGAGTGTAAGCCCCTTACTCTTACGGATGAAAGATTTATCCACAATAAACATAATAAAAGGTGTTTTAGCAAATTAAAGTCTAGACTATTGAATCACGAATTAAAAGGCATTAAGTTAAAGGCCGTATCCATTTTCTAAATGGCCGACTACGCACCTTTGGCGTTGCGGTTGTCCATGGGCGGCGCTGATCGCTCACTATCAGGTGATCTGTGTGATCGTTAGCCTCCTATTCCATAAAAAAAATCGATCCCGAGTTTGTTTAAGCTAGGCTATTCTGTAATTTTCAATTCGAAAGATCAATTAAACTCAATTGCGATCGCCATGTCATTAGTTGTAAGAATAGTCTCTACCAATAACGGGCGAGCATGTGATCGAGCTCACTTCGAAAGTTTGAATTGAAAGTCCTAGCAGAATCGTACAAAAATCTAGGAAATAAAATGTTCACAAGCATTATAATAAACATGTTAGTGGACTGAAAGGGGCTGATGACTAAATTATTGTTGCATTACAGAGGACAAAGTGCTCAGCACAAAAGGTCTCTTTGACGAGGTACCAGAAGAATATCTCAGTCATAAAGAAAAGTATGAGAATGCCGTACGGAAAGCAGTGGTTTATTATAAAGCGATGAAGGAGGCTGAAGATCCTAATCAGACAGAACAGGAGAGAGCTAAGTAAGTTGAATTTAAGTAGGTGCAACCCTGACTGATAGACAATGCTCGGGTCGGCAAAAACATTAAGTTTTTAAATTTTGGTAACTCCATGGAATCCGAATTTATGGTCAGGTACACGAGTTTAGGTTCGTTTCTATAAGGGTGGTTTGAACAGAGAAGTCTTGGTTGTCCGTTAGAGGCCCAGGGTATACGATATCATCAAAATTGGGAATTGGACGACCCGTCGCGACGGTTTTGCAAAACGTGACAGTGAGTCATCAGAGGTTCAACTGATGAACGATGATATTTCTATTTTCTCCCAGTGCCACTTACCGCAGCCTGTTACATGCTGCTGTGTTCAAGGACAACTCTCCGTTCTCCCTACACCTTGCCATGTTCATACCAGCAATATTGGGACAGGCCGATGAAGAGCAGAAGAAATATTGGATGAAGAGAGCCAGTAAGATGGAGATTATCGGTACTTATGCACAGGTTAGCTACATTCACATTATTATGACTGTGCTGATTTCCCATCCTAAAATTAATTTTACACTAACAGTGTTGACGATTTCTCCTTATTGAATTGGTGCGAAGAAGATTGTGTATTATAATTTTGTGACTGGATGAAGTTATAGGTTGTCAACGAAATACGACTTTTTACAGACAGAGCTTGGCCATGGAACTTTTATTCGTGGCCTAGAAACCACTGCTACTTATGATCCCAAGACCGAAGAGTTTGTTCTACACAGTCCAACGTTAACCGCTTATAAATGGTGGCCTGGAAGCTGTAAGTATATTTATTTTTTTCGGTTTTTTCCTCTGGAATTGCCTGCAACTGACACAGGTATCCTACATTCAAGATGAGATTTCTTATTTCTTCTTTCGCTGAATATTTTTTCAACATGCTTAAATCTCCGTGTACCAGTTTTGACTTCTGGTCTACATATACTATGTTTTAATTTTCTTCAGTGGCACACACAGCAAATTACTGCGTGGTTATGGCTCATTTGTACATCAATGGTAAGAGCTGCGGTATCCAGCCGTTCATCGTCCAGTTGCGAGACGAAGAGACCCACCAGCCACTCCCAGGCATCAAACTTGGAGAGATTGGAGCTAAACTTGGTTTCAATACAGTCAATAATGGATTCCTTGGTTTTGATCAGCATAGGATTCCGAGAAATAGAATGCTGATGAAGAACGCGCAGGTTTTGAAGGTAATCTAATACTTCTATACTAATATAAATATAAGGAGATTCTTCTGACTGCCTCGTTGGCCGAGTGGTCGTAAGTGCGACTAGGGGTCGCAATACCGAATCATTTGACCAAAACCGGTATTTTCGGTATTGGCCCCAGACCAATACCGATATCCCGGTATTTTCGATATTTCCGGGATTAACCTAAGTTAGCAAATTTAGTATAATAAAGTTAGTTTACGGAGGAATAGTAAGTAGGTACCTAACCTAAATGAAGTCATCTTCTAAATAAAACAAAATTTTCATTGACACAAGGTTTATTATTGTTGGCAATCACCCAGTTAGTTAGTACTTAGCAATAATTTACTAATGTTCCGTTTATTCCTTTATTACATACAATAACTTGAGGTAACTAGTTCAAATACTTTAATTAAATGTAGTTGACTAGGAAGTAGGATTCCTACTAGAAATCAGTTCTAAAAATAAATGTTTATCAAACTTAAACATCTCACAACAGTCTCAACATAAACAAAACGAACCCAAAAATACACTTGTAATTAACTCTCATAAAACATAAAATTAATAAAATATTCTCATAAAACATAAAATTAACTCTTAGTATGGTTTACTAATCATGAAATAATATTCTGATTACCAAAATAACAAAAATTCTTAAATTAAATTCAGTGTTTTTTATTTATTTTACTAAAACCAAAAATACCGAATATCCCGGTTTTTGTGAAATGACTACCGGTATTAATTAGACCTAAATTTGGCCCGGTATTCCGGTATTTTCGAAATTCGGTATCCCGGTTTGCGACCCCTAAGTGCGACTGCCGGGCCTCGGGTTCGATTCCCGGGTCGGGCAAAGTATTACTGGGTTTTTAAATATTCTCAGTAGTAGCACGGAGTCTGGAATTGTGCCCGGTATATGGCAATAGGCTCTCCCCCTATTACATGGGGCTCATAACATAAATAGTGAAAAGTAGGTGTTACATTGTACAGTGGTATAATGTGCACCTCTGCCTACCCCTTCGGGGATAAAAAGGCGTGATGTTATGTTATGTTATGGAGATTCTTCTTTTATTGTCTTCTATATGTTTTCTCTTTTTAAGGATGGTACATTCAAGAGGTCTCCAAACAGTAAGCTGACATACGGAACAATGGTATACGTCAGAGTGGTGATCGTCAATGGCATGGCCAACCAACTGGCGAGGGCTGTCACCATCGCCGTCAGATACTCAGCTGTAAGGAGACAGTCAGAGCTGAAGCCAGAGTAAGTTATAATTTACATTGTATAAAATTCAAAAGCCTTCAAAATTTTGATAACGTAACACTTAAACTGCTATGTGTGGGGATTATTGCGATCTTAAGAGGTCCCCCTTAGTTTCAGTCAGCAGTCAACGTATTCTGACTTAAGATATTAAAGATACCGTGTAGTTGCACCGAGAGGAAGCATATAGGAGTAATTCCTTGACTACGTTCAAAGTTGACACTTCATTATTCTGATCTATAAACCTAAATAAGGACCGTACCAGGTTTCAATAACATGGAACCTTGTTGTTAGTGCTGGTGAACCTCAGATCCTGGACTACGTGACGCAGCAACACAAGTTGTTCATCGGCATAGCTTCGAGCCATGCGTTCACTCTCACTGCCAAGTGGCTCACCAGGATGTACCAGAAGGTTACTGCCGATCTCGAAAAGGGGAACCTGGACGAATTGCCAGAGGTCAGTCTATCTGTTTTCTTGATCATTTCTGATCTTTAAAGCCGTGTTTTGTAAATAATAGCTAAAAAGTTTTAATTGTGATTGAGTAAATGTTATTTTTTTGAGAGAACAATTTTTGATCGAGCATAGCAATTGTTTACAGAAGTGACTGTTTAAACAATAACGAGGAAATACCTCGTTATTGTTTAAACAGTACAGCTATTATTTCGCTGGTTGTAAATAACGTCTAATTTTACGTCTACGCTACGTCGAATTTTAATGTATAGTAAAATATTATACATTAAATTAAAATGATATAATAGGATGATGACAGGGTATGAAAAATTAAAATATAATTAGTCCGTCAGTTAGGTAATGAAAAAATATTAGACACGTATTTTTGTATTTTGTTCTATAATAAAATGATACTTAGATATAACGAATCAAAGTTTAGATGTGGAGGGCTAAACCGTCATTTCTACGTATAAAATGTACGCAGAAGTGACGTCACGCGACATTTCAAATCAATATATTTAAGAAACTATTCGTTTCCGTAAATAAATTAAAAATACGTATCTAATGTTTTTAAATAATCTACCAGACGGACATTAAAATGAAAATTAGTCACAAACCCTATTATGCAGATATGCTAAAGGGCAACATACACTAGTTGTTCAATAGCAGTTGATTAATGAAAACGAAAGATTTAAACTGAAAATTTTTAAACGTGCATAATTGCATTTTTAATTTGCCAATAAAAAACTGTTGAAGGTAAATCCTCCGCTAACGTCGGTCATCGGTGACCCCCATGGCGTTTAACGTGTTAATTTTAAATACTATATGCTGAATCTGTAATGTATTAGCACTCAATGAAAGACATTTTTTTTATAGTTACACGCAATAGCATGTTGCCTCAAAGCAGTAACAACGACGGATACCTCAGTCCTAGTGGAACGAAGTCGTACATCTTGTGGTGGACATGGATACATGTTGTCCTCTAACTTACCTCAAATATATGGACTGGTCACAGCCGCCTGTACTTATGAGGGAGAGAACACCGTGCTTATGCTGCAGACTGCCAGGTAATGTGTACTTTTGGTACTTTTCTAAAGGAATAGCTTATTTAAAACTGCGACCAGACAAGCACCATCTCGGCTCTTAATTTGAAGTGATCAAATTATGATATCCTATTGTTTTTCTACATAGCACATTATAACAAACTAACTACTTCCGCGCGGTTTCACACACTCTGCTCAGCTTCTATTGGTCGTAGCGTGATGTTTTATAGCCTATAGCCATCCTCGATAAATGCGCTATCAAATACAGAAAGAATTTTTCAAATCAGACCAGTAGTTCCGGAGATTGGCGCGTTCAAACAAACAAACAAACAAACTCGTCCGCTTTATGTAAAAGTATAAGATTAGCTAAGGAATTGTACCCGCTGTTGGACTAGGTACCTATGCATACGTATGGGTAATTGGTATAGTACGGTATCAGTGGAATGTACACAACATTTTATATTATACTAGCTGACCCGGCAAACTTCGTACCGCCTAAAAAATACTTTTCTCACCTTTTAAACCTTCCCTGCACTTACACGAACATTTCAAAACCAAAATTAGCCAAATCGGTCCAGCCGTTCTCAAGTTTTAGCGAGACTAACGAACGGCAATTCATTTTTATTTATATAGAATAGATTCTATAAATATATATTTTATACATACATATACATAATTATATTCTTCAATAATACATTATGTTAATATAAGATCCAACAATCAAACTATTTATGTATAATTTTGTTGGACATGGCGTTAAATTTTAAGGCATACATTGTACCTTTTATTATTAAATAAATAAATAATAATAAGCCGCATGCTAAGCATAAGGATAAATGTAAGCGGAGGTTCCTTGTCCAGCACTATTTAAATAGGTTAATTATGACGCTGACGATGATGATGGCTAAATTCACAGAAATATTAAAAAAGTGGCAAGGGGGCGTGTCAGTGACGCTCGCAATTGAGCGCTCCGCTCAATGTATGAAAATAGGGCGCATCAAAAACGCATCAAAATACGTTGCGTAGTTCTAAAGATCTAGGCATACATAGGGACAGACAGACGGCGGATAGCGACTTTGTTTTATACTATGTAGTGATTATAAACCAAAAGCTGTTGTTGTAGCTTCTGAGTCTGTAAGTAGTGCTCTATTCTAAACCCTAAAAATGTTCCTAAATCGGGACTACAGACATCATAAATCATACATCAACAGCCTATAAATGCCCACTGCTAAGTAAAACCTCTTCTCATACGAAAAAGGTTTGAGCATTAATCACCACGCTTGCCCAATGCGGGTTGGCGATTTCAAACTTATAATTAGAGATTATACGCTCAGGTTTCCTCACGATGTTTTCCGTCACCGTTTGTCAGCGATGTCTAAATAGTTTTAGTACCAACATACTGCATGTGTCTAATTTCTGTGTGTGTGTATTTGATTTATATTTGTTTTCTGTATTGTTTTGTCTGTTTAATGTGCTTACTAACATATTCGTAAAGATGTTTCGTATTTTTGATTTTGTTAAAAACACAGTGGACTTTTGATACCTTAAATAAATAAATGAAGATAAATAATCGTAGAAAGCACATATAACTCGGAAAATGTCACATTGGTACTTGCTGTTGGTAGGTTTCGATCCCGCGACCTTATGCTTGAGAAGCGGGCGTCTTAAACCTCCGGGACACCACGATACCAATCACGACACCAACCAAATTGGGATTAATCTGTCAAACACCAAGCGGTCACCGGTGACCGCGACCTATTGTTCTTTAATTGTGTCTATAAAACCGGTACTCGACGAGTTAAAGCGTGTATTCTAATAAACTGAAAATAAAGTGGACTGTATATAAAAATACATGCAATGCCATTAATAATGTTTATAATATTGTAATTACAATTTACGTGTCTAGATACAATCTCACAATATATTAAACACGAGCACTTTGTCAGATGATAATTTACGACAGTTTAATAAACTCATCTATCGGTGAGTTCATCGGGAATTTAGCAAAATGTTTCGATATACATAATATTATAGATTATGCAAAACTAAATGTTATAATAAATTATTGCATCGATAATAATGATTCATCCGAAGTCATTGAGGTTTTTGTATTGGAAAGAGGTGGTCTCAAATAAATGTCGTCGTTAAGAATTATTGTGTACTAGTTCTTACCCATGGTTTTATCTGTAATCTTACGTCGGAAGTAAATAACTTAAATGAAATAAAAATGATTAAAAATTAAGTCTTATAAACGAGCAGATTTTAATGAGAAATCAATTTTAATAAGTAGTTTTTTTTTCACGAATACGGACATCTTCACCGAGAATCACTTATGGCCAATTTCAATAACCTATCTATCTGTAGATTTGCTTACTAGAGATAGAATTTTGACATAAGCTCCATACAAAATGTGTCATGTGGACGTTAGTCCACTTTTAAAAATCATGTAGTTTTTTGTGTATCAGAAACAGACAGATCGACATATTTTGTTTTATTACGGATAGTTATAACTTTTAAAGTAGTTCTATTATTTATATCTAAACTGTAACTAACGGGATCACAATATTTATGTTGACTATGATTAACTGTTGTTGTATTATAATTTCAATCAAATTGATTCTCCGTTCTTTCATTTGGAGCACAAAAAATAGAAATTATATTCTAACCATAACTAATTGTAGCTTCTAAATGCTGTTTGTCAGGACTTGTGTTTTTACCTGATAAGACGACAAGAACCCGTTATAGTCCATTGATAGATTAAAGGTCCTTAGTCTACATTTAAAAGGAATTGATCTTAACGTTAAGCAGGCGGGAATTTATGATTATAAGGTTTCTGTGTATCAGAGTGATGCCTTACTGGTTTCTGTGTGAAACGTGTAGTCCCTTGTCTATTCTTATTTCTTACGATACATATTTGAAAGAGTAGGGGTAATAGACAAATATCTTAAATAAGCAATACTTACATTATTTTTATAAACAATTTTTAACACTAGCTTATTTGAGTTATAACTTTCGTGAGACATGCTAAATTAATTATTATGTTTTTCGGCTTACTCACGTAATAATTTGACGAGGAACTCGACTAGTTTCAAGCCATGCTAGAGGCTCATATTCATGACCAGCATTCCGCGACCCGCGACGTGGCGACTGTGACTGCTACAACCGCCGCGTGAAGCTGGCCATGAAAATAGTCGAGCTCCTCATTAGATAGTTACGTGAGGAACCCAAAAAACATAATAAGTAAGCTATTTGAATTGATGGATTGTTCCAGATCTCTAGTCAAAGCCTTGGAGCAGGCTCAATCTGGAAAGCGTTTGAGTCCCACGATGTCCTATTTGTCTGAGAAGGTCAGTAGCAGACTGAAGTGGGACAACTCTATCGATGGAATTGTTAAAGGGTTCCGACGAGTTGCATACGGGTAAGAAACTATAAAACTTTAAGTTTTTATACCAATTATATATAAGTGCCTATCAAAGTAAAGTTACTTGTGTAAATAACCGAGTTACTATGTTTGATTAAGACAGAACTTTTTTGAATTTAGTAAAAAAGAGATTAGGCAAAATGGTATGAAGATTTTTTTTGTTTACACTGAGCAGGATAAAATAAAATGACATATGTCGGAATACTCAAACGTTACTCAATTTTAAGTCGCGCTTAAGTATAGTTCTGTCATTACAAATTCTTTGTAAAGGACAGAGGTAGCACGATATTTAAGCACGACTTAAAATTAAGTAACGTTTCAGTATTCCGGCGTAAAAGTGATAGATACTTAATGTGTTATGTGTGGTACTTACAGTAAAGTAGAATCAGCAGTGAGAAGCATGAGGAAATATGTCAGAAGTGGTCTGGGTCCTGAAGACGCGTGGAACATGTCTTCAGTGCAACTGGTTGCTGCTTCCGAGGTACATATGTGAACTTCTGTTTTTTTTTGTAACAAGGTATTTTAGACGTAGGTACCCACGTAATAAGGTTCTCTTATCTATTTATCTGTCTGTCGATCACAAGGGGATATCTATTTTGTTTTTCGTTGGGAAGTATAACAAAATAGAGTGTACCAAAGTTAGACAAGAGAAAAAAGCATTCTTCGTGCGTATGATATCAACATATTTTGCAAGTTTTCATATAATAACTAAGTCTGTGAAACAAGTGAAACAAGTGAATTTATTTCTGCAAATAGGTTACGAGGCAGCACTTTTACACGTCAATTTTATCAAGCGAACGATGAGGTCGACATTTCCTAACTGACTACTCTGAGAAGAAATGCCGAAACAAACTCTGAGCTCACTGCTAAACAAACAAAGCCTCTTCTCAGTCTGAGAAGAGGCTTTGCTCACGCAGTGGGCATATAGGCTGTTGATGATGATGATGATATCTAAGTCAGGTAGCTAGCAATATGAAAAGGGATACAAATGTGTATAAAATATGTACTTACATCTAACCCTTCGAAGTAAAATTTTTGCTTATCTTGATACCAAGGTATCTTAAACTAAGAGAAGTCAGAATGCCAAGTACAAATAACTATCGAATTCGTAACGTATCGAGCGCGTTCGGCGCTCTGATTGGCCGGCTCCAGTGAACGAACCAATCAGAAGGTCTAAGGAATAATGAAATGCGGAACGATAACATCATAAATACTATTCCCTTAATTAATGGCATTCAAGTTTGAAGGTCAAAAGTTAACTAGTATAAATAATATCCTCACAAAAGTGGAATTTACTCTTAAAAGAACTGAAATTGGATATCCACTCTGTATCCTAAACAAGCGGTAAAATATAATGAGCTGTTTATATTGTTGTCACTTCAGTGTTAACATTTTTACGCCATGTAAATTCCTACTAATGGATATTATAAGTATCTTATAATTGAGTCTTTACAAGTTATTGGTGATTTACTAAAATAAAATAGGATTATAATCCTATACTATATTATTATTATTTATAGCGGATGAGTTTGTTTGTTTGTTTGTTTGAACGCGCTAATCTCAGGAACTACAAGTCTGATTTGAATAATTCTTTGTTTTGTTATGGCTATAGGGTATAATCACGCTACGACCAATAGGAGCTGAGCATAGCGTGTGAAACTGCGCGCAAGTAGCTAATAATTACCTATATACAAATGTATAGTGACACATATTATTATATTATATTCAATCTGGTATTTTTGATATAAAATGTCAGTATAGTAAACATTAATATACCGTACTATTAGTTATACATACACACATATATACATACATGCATAATTTCACCCCTGTCTCCCATGGGGGGGTAGGTAGAGGAGGAGGTACTATGGAATGCCAATTACTACGATTCCTACATACCTCTTTCGCTTCTACTATTAGTCATCTAAGCTAAAAATAACTTGTGAAAAGGTGTCTCGTTTATTCTTAACAGATATGGTTAAGAACCGAGTTGATTTTTTGCTTCGATATAATTTTTTTGCGTAAATAAATAGAATTAATCGGATTATGTTAATTTATAGACATTTACATTCTATTTAAAACTGTAGGTAGTTTTTATTCAGAAATATGTTAAATTTGTTTATGGTTTATTATTAATAAGCATTATTTACTTTTTACTGTTTTGTTCGAGTTTTAGAACCATTTCCTGGGTAGTATCTAAAATTCACAGAAATCTTTGGGGACTTCTTTCCATTATATTTATAATCATAATTAATTAACGGGGAACTAGGCAAAAAGGTTTTTAATGAAAGAAGTTTAGAAAGATGAAGTAGTAAAGTTATTGAGTATTATTATGACAGACCAACAGTTTCTAGAAAAAAATATAAGATAACAAAACTTTTTTTAAGTATTAGTGCTCATATATTATTATCGATTAATTATTCAAATATAATAAACGGCTTCCTTATAAATTGATAAATAGTACTCATTATAAATTATACGGGGCTTGGAGAAAATATCGATACTATTCATCTTACTAATTATGGATATTAGTATAATATAAATCTATTAACTTGGTTCATAATCTGCTTTGTACATTAATAAAAAATATCTGTGGGAAGTCCTTTTGATTTGTTGCCAAGCACAGCTTCTGTATTCTAGTAACTTCGAAATTCCTTAAAGTTGTATGTACTATTGCGTGACGACTTATGTACCTACACGAAAAAATATTTTTTTAATATGTTCAGTGTATTATTTGCGTTTATTTATGGAAAGTGCACTGCTCTTTATGATTCGATTATTTTAGGGTTTAATTATGGAACTAGAGTACCAGCAGCAATTTACATACCGGAAAATATAAAAATAACTACTCATTTAATATGTATTTGTAACTAATTTATTAAAACAAAGTCCACAACATATAACAGGAAGCTTACTAAATAAAATTAACTAATTAACACTAATAATGTTTGACAAAATAGCAATAAAACTGTATTATATTATGTTAATTATTACAACGATAATATTATTAGGATATTTACTAATGGACGCGGTGACTTTATAGGCTGTCTCCTTTATTTTATGTGCCTAACGGTTCTCCAATTAAAAAAATAGTTTAAAAAAGTTCGCAGTGTTGCTACTTCAATTAAATTGTCTTCATCAATCATTGTATTTGCAGTTGAAACCATAAATGTCTTTATATAAACATTTGTTAGATTTATAATTAACATTTTTTCACTAAATTACGACGGGGGCGTGTTTAAATTATGGTCGTCTGGTCGTCGTAAATATTTTCATATTTTTTGCATCTATAGAAATGATACAAGGGGTCAAAATTTTGCAGTTGATAGTTTTGAATTTCGAAAAAATATAAGGAGGTGGTATTGCCAATTTGATTTACTGCACAACAATTTCTTTTGTATTGTAGTTTCGGTTCTTAGTTTAAAAAAATATAAGTACATCGATTTTTTGTCAAAAAATTGTTAATTAAATATGACCTTTATTATCTCTGTCCCTAGGCGCATTGCCGAGCATTTATCCTGTCTACTTACAAGTCAGAAGTGGACAGAACGTCAGGCTCCTTGTCAGAGCCTTTGAAGACAGTATTGTACTACCTGGTGGAATTGTATGCCACCTACTGGGCTTTGGAGAGAGTCGGAGATTTACTGCTGGTAAGTTTAAAAGCTGTAAGATAATCATGTGATTAAAAATTACGTATGTGAAAGATGCCTGGAGAGAGTAGCCAACTAGAAGATAATAGAGTAACATTCTAAAGTGTCAGTTTTAAGTGTAGGAGAGCCCCATTCGTCCTGAAGCATCAGCACGAATGGGCCGGCTCGACCGCAGTGATACCACGGCCTCATAGAAAACCGACGTGAAGCAACCCTTGCGTTGTGTTTCGTCGTGTGAGTGAGGTTACCGGAGGCCCAATTACTCTCCCCTTCCCCAATGTCCCCAATCCCTAAATCCCCAACGATCTTCAAACTCTCAATCCCCAAAAGGCCGCTAACGCACTTGTAACGCCTCTGGTGTTCCGGGTGTCCATGGGCGACGCCGATTGCTTACCATTAAGTAATCCGTCTGCTCGTTTACCGGCTTATGCCATTAAAAAAGCTTAATTTTTCATTGTTGTCAGAAGGTCCTAGTGACTTCGGGTAAGATCAAAAATATATACTGTTGCAGGCTACTTTTACATAAATGGCAATTGAAAATAAACTATGAAATAGATAGCTCTCTACATAGTTTTAACCAATCCATATCTTTAATCTATACCCTACTGATCCCATTCAATATCTCCACATCTACACTTGGCACTTTGACACAAATATCTTTCTAGAATGTGCTAGCAATTATTCCGTACTGTTAGATAACGTAGATAAATCTAAAATAACAGGATCACGCGAAAATAATGGCGTCCCACAATAGCTTTGATTATCTGCACAGGTACAGTTAAATAATACGTTGTAAAAACTTACTGCACGGAATGATAGAGAGCAAAAAAGTACATATTTTTATTTTATGCGCGCGCCTGTCAGAGCTTCAGCCATCTTGCATTTTTATTTTTTTATTAGACATGACTTACTCAAAGTTTAGATGTGCATCGCCCATTCATTTTCCTTGTAGGGTTTTTATCTTAGAAATTTTGTGTGACGCCTTTTTTAAGTAAAAGATTTAAAGCTACATAAAAGCTTGTTTCCGGGAGTTGAAACATGTAATTTTTTTAGTGTTCCTTGTAAAAAAAGATGGCGGTGTAAGTACTAAACTAAGTACTAAAGCTATAATAAAAATGACACATTACAGTTGTATGCAGTTTTAGTGGTAGTAAATTTAGCCTTGGTACCGTTTGATGTTTACCCAAAAAGGGTAACGTGACGTCATAATAGCCTTGTTTGACATGTCGGGGGAATTTTGAAGTATTCCTGCCTCGTCATCGTGACAGTTATGTTTGTTCCGTTGTTGAAATTGAACTTGTAACAATCAACATAGTATTTAAAGTACATGCATAATTAGAGCGTGCTTTGTTTATGTTTTGTTTTAAACTGTCAAACACCAAGCGGTCACCGGTGACCGCGACCTATTGTTCTTTAATTGTGTCTATAAAACCGGTACTCGACGAGTTAAACAATGATTATAAAGAGATGTTGTTGTGATTTCACATGTCAGATTGTTAATAAAAAGAAGATTTTATCAAATGATTGTGAAGTTCCGTGTTATGGTGTCTAGAACTTTTTCTGTTACTATCAGCTTGAGATTTCGTCTAGGTTAGGGTGCATTCGATCTGTTATGCTGTCGTCCGACACTTTGCAGCTAATTTGTAGGCCCTTATTGACTTTAAAAGATACTCTCTTTGCTACATTTTATTGTAATGCAATCTAATTTTTCCATAGTTTATGCCCGAAAGATTCATAGAAAGAGACAAAAAGAATAATGTATATAATTAATGAAATGCAAAGCTCATAATCAAAATAAGCAATAATAAGCTAAGTCTAATTTAACGAATGGTTGAATGATCCCATGAATTTAAATGCAGCACAAGCAAAAAACTTATAACTATTTATAAATATTTCTACATATTCATATAACTAGCCAATTGATGATTATAATGACTAAGATTGGCAGGTGAATTAACGCGAATAATGCACTCTAATTTCTATGCATTATGATGTTTATTTCCATAGAGGTATTTAAAAGGGTTCCGTATCAATTGGAATGATGACAGGGTATGAAAATTAAAAATCTAATTAGTCCGTAAGTTAGGTAATGAAAATATATTAGTCACGTCTTTTTTATTTTGTCTTATAATAAAACAGTACTTAGATAAAACGAATCAAAGTTTAGAAGTGGGGGCTAAAACGTCATTAATAAACGGACATTAAAATAAAAACTAAGCATCTACCCTATTGAAAATTACGGTTTAATTAGTAATGCAGTCTACATTCAGGAGGATGAGAAAGCCCTAATAGGTTCAAGCGTTCCGGGACTTATATTTGTGAACAGTACTTGTGTGATACATTATGTCTCACACTCACAATAAATACACTTCTGATTATCTAGCAACGCTGGTTCATAAGAATTCTTCTAATTTTATTAACCGATGATTTGACTTAAATAGCTGTTATAGTTGTAGGTATATGATATATTTCAGATCCTGTGCCATTAGCCAAACTCCACTTTAGCGCTTGTCTACAGAGATAGTAGAAAACTAAATGTATGGGGATGACACTGACAAGTGTCAAAAGTCGATTCGGAGTCGCGGAGAACCTAACGGGTAACCGGGGCTCCGACTCGACGTGCAGGAGAAGGAATGGGGTGGTTTTTAGTCAGTAAGATTCTGACACTCCCTCCCGCCTCACCCAGGCGGGAGCAGTCACTCGATGATTTTCCCCCCTTAAAAAAAAGTGTCAAAATTTACGTCAATTCCATATAATTTGGTTTTCTATTCTACATGTCTACAGCGCTAAATGGGGCTACAGCTGCTGGATACATAAACAAACGTTTTAAAGTAACATCTATTGGAATTCAGTGTCGGTAATTACTTTTGCAGTTATTTTGTATTGCTTCGGATCTATCATTTGTAATATTTCGTTACGGTCCATTATTTTATTAAAATGATATGCTCGCATGACATGACATGAATTCAGTAAGTATATATATAACATAACAATAACATTCGAAGCTTACATTTACGTATTTTTTTCTTTTGAAATGTGGAAGAGCGCAATAGGCTAAATGCCTCATTTTTATTTTAATGTCAGTCTGGTAGATTATTTTAAATCATCAGACACGTATTTTTTATTTTCTTACAGAAACGAATACTTTCAAATATTGGTTTGAAATATCGCGTGACGTCACTTCTATGTACATTTTATACGTAGAAATTTTAGTCCCCACTCCTTAACTTTGATTCGTTTTATCTAAGTATTGTTTTATTAGATGACAAAATAAAAAATACGTGTCTAATATATTTTCATTACCTAACTTACGGACTAATTATATTATTAATTTTCATACCCTGTCATCATCCCAATTTAAAATGTTCTGTTTAGTTATTCCAATCCGAAATATGATCTCATTTATTAAAATTATCATTGTTATTATAATTTAAAACAATTTGAAATGTCTCTTCGTAATTGATTGTAAGTATGTGATCGAATTTGTGAATGTTCTATCTCCATATTTTAGCACAACAACGGTTTTATAAACAGGTGTCTTCATTACAATCTAGATTACATTTTAAGACTAGTTCTTATAAATTATATGCTTGGTATAATTTATAGATATTGGACAACATAAAACACTTTTAGAAATTAAAATTGGCGTAAATTTTATTTACGTTAGAGCTCAGATTTCTTTTTGATTTGTGAGTTATTTAGAGGTATTTGTGTATAGTGCGTGTAAGTAATACAAAGTAAAGTAATATAAATGTATGCATATATAATGCCTTATAAAATCTCCATACAGACTGTTACATGTATGTATTAACATCATTATCTTAGGTATACACGTCGCGGAGACCCTAACGGGTTACCGGGGCTCCGGCTCGAAGTGCAGGAGAAGGAACGGGGTGGTTTTTAGTCAGTAAGAGTCTGACTCTCCCTCCCGCCTCACCCAGACGGGAGCAGCGATTCGATGATTTTCCCCCCTTACACAGCCGATTTCTAAATAAATTGTTACAACGTTACTCACATCCGCAATTCTGAATATACCTAATTTGGCCCTTCCCAAATCTCAAAGAGGAAATCCTATCTATTGATAAATCTAACATTGAAATAAAAAACAAAACATTGAACTAGTTTTTTTTAACTATAAATCAATGTTTGACCGACCTTGGCAGTGAACCGAGGTAACTATTCAAAGATCAATGTCAAAATCGGAACATTTATTCCAATTTGATCTTTTGTAAGTCAATGATCTAAATTAATTAGGTACCTTTTCATCATTTATGGTTTAATTTATGATATCTTATAAACATTCGAATTGTTTATCGATATTTTTCCCCCATTTTTTGTAACTTATTCGAAATCGATTTGTCAAGTCTTTGTATGACTTTTTTTAATCCGATCTGATTTGGTGTTAATAAAATCGATTAAATCAAGATGAAAGTTGGAAATTATTTAAATTTAAATTAAATTATGTGAGAAATCAGATTTTATTGTAATCAATACAGATTCTCCAGTCATAAATAAGAATATAATTTAATATTCGATACAATTAATATTGTTCGACAGTTTTGCTCATAAAAATATTTTTGAAATGGCGAAATGTCACCCGTAAATTAAAAAACAATAATGCATCTTTCGAGTGTGTAAATTTTTTTGTGACGTACCTAATTAATGTCGAATTGGGGTTCACCCGATCTTGAATTTTGTAAAATCTTAAAAATAAAATAACCGAACAGGGTCGATGATTTGCTATAGGTATTAACTTCGGGCACTCTAACTTTTATTTACCGCGACCGCGCGATCCGCGGCGATACTGCGATTTTTAGTTAATTTAGTATGTCTCACGATAGTTATAATAAAAATAATATCTACACTATAAAAATTATCACGCACTTAACACAATCAATACTCAAAAAGTCGACAAATTACGTCCCAACAAAAAACACTGGTGGATTTCCATGTGTTTAATCTTAATAAGCACTTAAACATTAATAAAAATCTATTTAATTCTATATACTGACAGAGACGTGTGATTTTTTGTTGATGACAGTAAATAGTATGGTTATCTATCAACAATAGTGGCCGCAGACTTTAATTGCCCTCGTATTATGGGTTTTTACATACATATTATGTTAAGCGGCGATGCCTATGGAGTTTAACTGGAAAAATTAACTGTGCTTCGGTCGAATTTAGGTAGGATCCCTGTTTATTTGCTATATAAAATGAAACCCGTTTCCCGTTGTCACGCCATAACTTGAGAACGGCTAGACCGATTTGACTGATTTTTTTTGTTGTGTTTGTTATTGTCAGGAGAAGGTTCTTAAGACAGTAAAGATCCTTAAAATCCTACGGGAACGGGAGAAAATGTGATTGGGAAAGTCGCGGGCAGAAGCTAGTATTATATTATTTCTTATTAGTTATTGGATGATACAGGAATAGAGGTGTAGCAATTTTATTTCAAAAAACGCCTGAGGGCTTATTGTATTTGCCACTGTATCAAAACATAACCGTTTTTCATATATGAAACAAAAATTAAATTAATGCGTTTCAAAGGTTCATTTAGTCTTTTTAAATAATTCAATAAAATCAATAATGTGTGTAATTCATTCAAAACATGTTGAAAGCACGAAAATCAAAATAAAAATATCCTAATTAAAACACAACCTTTAAAAACAAAAGGTCTGGCGTACAGTTATATAAATACGAGGTCAACATACGGACTAGCAACAAAAACGCATGGATTATCTGGTCGATATGTCAATAGATTCATATCAATCATGGTGTAGTAGACTCGTTTGAACAACTTGACTTTCCAAGCAAAAAGTGATAGGAGAAAGTAATTGTATCAGTTCTTTGGTGACAAAGTTGGGTAAAAAATTGTCTGGTACTAGTTTTGGCATCGTGTTTGTGTCTATTTTTGTTTTGTTGTTGTCCTCTTGAGTAATTAATCGTATGTTAAATAATGTATTAATATTATCACTGGACTCATAACATAAATAGTGAAAAATGGGTGTTACATTGTACAGTGCCATAATGTGTACTTCTGCCTACCCCTTCGGGGACAAAAGGCGTTTCCGTTTCCCGTTGTCACGTCATAACTTAAGAACGGCTAGACCGATTTGACTGTAATTTCTTCAAAACATGTTGAAATTACTAAAACTTGTATGGACTTAAGTATTAAGACCGGGCAAGGGGTCTCGGATTCGATTCCCGAATCGGACAAAGTATTACTGGGTTTAAAAAATCTCAGTAGTAGCACGGAGTCTGGAAATGTGCCCGGTATATGGCAATAGGCTCACCCCTATTCTATGGGACTCATAACATAAATAGTGAAAAGTGGGTGTTACATTGTACAGTGGCATTAGGTGCCGAAATGTGCACCTCTGCCTACCCCTTCAGGGATAAAAAGGCGTGATGTTATGTTATGTAATATGGACTTAAGTATGTCTAATTATGCTGTGGTGAGGTTATAATAAGCTATATTTTTAATAATAACTATCGTGAGACATAATAAATTAACTAGCCAATAGGCTGCGCGACGTCGCCCCGACTGCGCACGCTACTCATGAGGAAGAATCCCTCTGTGGTTCGAAACTAGTAGAGCTTTTCTCAGTATATTCAAAATATTTCAAATTGTAACTTAACTTATTCTGGCAAGTCAAATTTGAATAATTATACTCAATAGTTTCTAATATTTATAAATTGAATACAGCTTTATGAAGGCTTATTTTCGAAAAAAATATTAAAGATAGGTTCGAAGAAAAACTCTATATTATAAAACTGCATTGATTGTAATAAAAAAGTAGGTTACATGTTGACATGCCTTCGGTTACCAGTACAAAAGTGAACCGTTAACAATGACGTCAAGATCTAACTCGAAACTGACCTTACGTCAGGATCACATCACATTAGAATATTTACTGGGTCAGCAGTCGGGGTCACAAGTTCATGGTGTTATAAAAACTTTTTGTTAAGCTATAAAAAGCTCGGCTCCGTTTTTGTTATACTAAGAATAACGTTGTTTACTTTTCGGTTAGGTTTTTAATAAAATATTGGATGACTGATGAAAAGATATATTTTGTTTTGAGGAGAGAAAATTATCCAATTACTTCTCCCGCCATGGGTCAGGCAAAAGAGAGTGTCAGACTCGTACTGACTAAAAACTACCCCGTTCCTAATCCTGCTGTTTAAACCGGAGCCCCGGCAACCCGTTGGGTCTTCCGCAGCTCCGTATCGGGCATCAGCCCTATTCGGCCTCATTTGTGGTGGTTTGATGGGTCTTTAAGGCGCGCGCGAATCTCGTAGCGCCGTACGCACGAGATGAAAAGATACTAAAATATATAATTATAAGAGAAAGCCCATAAAAGTGATAGGAGTGCAGAATAGAATGGTGATATCTTTATTTTGGCTTAATTTTTTTAAAGCTTTATATTTATAATGTACCCTACCCATCAGCAATCTAATTAAATCGTAGCTTTTTTACAACGGTAAATAAATGAAATAACAAAATGTAAGAATCTTAAGTAGGTACAATACAGCAACTATATATTAGAACGATTGAAGTCGAACGATTCTTTATGAACAATATTGTCGAATAAAGTACATTTTTGGCACCAGTGGATTCAGTTCATACGTTGGTTCATTTATTTGACGTTAATGTTATCATTTCAGTACACCTCAATATCCGAAACTGATATCCGTCAGCTGCAGGACACGTATGAAGACCTTCTCGGGAAGATCAGACCCAATGCTGTGGGACTGGTCGACGCCTTCGACTTCAGAGATCAGGTAATAAAAGGACTTTGTTTGAATGTTTGATATTATTTTATTCCTGAACTAACATCGACTTGGTTCATTATTGCTTCGGTATATTATTATCACTTGAGATGTATTTTCAGATTTTAAAAATATCTTTTATTATTTATAGATTCTAAACTCAACCCTGGGAGCATACGACGGTCGCGTGTACGAGCGACTGATGGAGGAGGCACTGAAGAGTCCTCTGAACGCGGATCCAGTCAACCAGAGCTTCCACAAGTACCTTAAGCCGTTCATGCAGGGAAAACTGTGATACACTTTCAACTTCTAAAGGTTTATAGGTACTCTTTTGAGAATCAAAGTAATGTAATAGGTACAGTGAGAATATTTGTTGTAATATCATAAATAAATAAATAATCAACGTATTACTTCAATCTTTCATTTATTAATAGTAGACATAATTCTAGTAAATGCATTTTATCATTTGTACCGCAACATCAAATAAATAATCTGATTTATAAATAAATGCGTTGTCACGCTTTGCAAATACATCAAGACAAGTTGTGTCTGGAATCATGTCCAGAAGTCGTCGTGATGTGGTTGCTTATTTAGTGCACGAGAACTGAACTGATTGTTCAAGCAGCTTGAGCATTGGCGTGCGCGGAGCCGGAGCCGGACGAGTTCGCGTGGGAGTTGGTCACTCTGAAGGAGGTGTTCACTCCCTGCGTCCTGGCGGAGGAAGCGGCGTTACCAAAGCCGTGGGAGTGGGCGTCCGTAGAGATCCTGGAGCCGCCATAGTACTGGCTGGACCGGGCGTTATTGTATCCGTTCACGTTAGCATTGGCATTGGCAGAGCCAGCACCGTGCGAGTTGGCAGAGGATTGGGCGACACCATGTCCAGCAGACTGGCTGTCAGCGACTGACTTGGCGGAGCCGTAGCCATTGACGTCAGCGTTCGCGTTGGCAGCACCGTAGCCGTGTGTGTGTGCGGCAGACTTGGCGGCGCCATAACCAGCGTTGGTGTTGGCTTGAGCATGCGCGGAGGCAGGAGAGTCGTACAGAGTGCCGAAACGCCAAGAGATGGTCCTGCCTTGGTGGCCGATCTTAGCTGATGAGGAAGCGGAGCCGGAGCCGACCACGTTCGCGTTAGAGGAGGCGACACCCTGAGCAGCTACGGGTACAGCGTAAGGAGTGTAGAAGATCGGAGACTTGGCGTCGATGACGGCTGGTGCTGGGTCAGCAGAGATGACGGCGGGAGCTACGGGGTACACCACACCGACCACACCATTACCGTTGTTCTGAGCGGAACTTTCAGCGGAGCCTTCACCCTGAGTCTTGGCGGAGGTGCTGGCGGAGCCAAAGCCAGAGTTGGCATTGGAGTCAGCAGAGCCGAAGCCTTGAGTTTTAGCGTTGGACGAGGTCACTCCGTAGCTTCCGATGCCTCCCTGAGTGTTGGCAGAGGATTGAGCGATGCCGTTACCACTGGAGGTAGCGGTAGACTTGACTGACGCGTCAGCAGGGACGGCGAAGTTCTGTTCGTAGGTGATGACAGTGGCGGGCGCTGGCACTGGGTAGTACGGTCCGTTGTGTGCTTGTGCGACAGCCTTAGCTCCACCGTAGGGGCTCTCAGGGAAGGGCACGGCGTCGTACGTTTGCGCCTGCGCGATGGCCTGTCCGGGATAGAAGTACCCGTCACGTGCCAGCTGTGCGCCTCCTGAGGAGCTACCGAACGCCTGCGCGGCGTCACCGTTGACATTTGCTTGTGCGGTGCTCACTCCGCCGCCGAAGCTAGAAGCCTGGCCCATGGAGTAGGCGCGTCCATCACGGTAGAATGCACCTAGAGGCAATGAATAAATTAATTAGTTTTATGTGTAGCTTTTAATATGATAGTTTGAAATTGGGATAAAGAAATGGTTTTTTGTCATAAATATGATTGATCTACTTTTCGTTAATTTAATTTGTAGCACTCACCGTTTATAAGGAGAGGGTTGGCGCGACACATCGCGAACAACGCCACAGCGACTACGAACTTGGCGGCCATGTTGACTGTACAAATATTCAGATCAGCACCGCGGAGAACACACGGCTGAGTGGATGCAGTGAGAGAATTTCTCCGCGCTTATATACTAAGAAACGAGTACCACCACTCCTGCGCAGCTGAGCCATACCTACGAACTTCACCTACAAACTGACACTCGTAAATTATGAGATGGCTGGCGATCATTGTGACGTGCGGATATCGATCGTGGACTTATTAATTAACTAACATTTTATTAGTACATTGATGTTTGGGTTCGTGTAGCCATGGAGTAAATAAAGTGTTTTAACGATTATGAAATATGAGTAGGTCCTAACTTACAATTTGTACATTTAAGTACATATCTTAATATTATTACTGGGTTTTAAAATCTTAGTAGTAGCACGGAGGCTGGAAATGTGCCCGGTACTATATGGCAATAGGCTCACCCCCTATTACATAGGACTCATGACATAAATAGTGAAAATTAAGTGTTACATAGTAAGTACAGTGGCATTAAGTGCCGAAATGTGCATCTCTGCCTTCCCCTTCGGGGATAAAAAGGCGTGATGTTATGTCTAATTACTATATCTGGGTTCGGATGAAAAACTATGTTTATCGCATTTAAAAAATGGTGAACCCGTTCGTGTATTGATCTGATATATTGAATTTCTTAAGCTACACAGTCAAACCTGCTGTAACGAATGTCTGTGAATAAAATTATATTCAGATTCAGTGTCTGATATTTTTAATAGAGTTGCTTGTGGTTGAATCCTATTACCATTTTAATGTGTGAAAATTAAATAAGTGTTATCAAGTGAAAAGTGTTTTCTAAGAAAACTCACAATAAATTATTTTGTGTTCTTAAAAAAGTTCAAGATATAGTTATATAATCTTGTCAAAAGTTGATTGGTTTAACTACATAGCAATTATTACCTTTAGTTCTACAACTTCGGTTTGTCTAATTATCTTATTATAATTGAATTTTATTTACTTCTTGATATTGTGTGCTTTAATAATTCCTGTTTAGTTTTTATAAGTATAACGTGATAAAGTGAGATGGATCATCTATGCCTGCCTCGTTGGCCGAGTGGTCGCAAGTGTGACTGCCTGGCAAGGGGTCTTTTCCCGGGGTTCGATTCCCGGGTGGGGCAAAGTATTACAGGGTATTGAAAAAATTCTCACATTGTATAGTTACTTACATTGTACAATAGCACGGAGTCTGGAATTGTGCCCGGTGTATGGTAATAGGCTCACCCCCTATTACATGGGACTTATAACATAAATAGTGAAAAGTGGGTGTTACATTTTACAGTGGCATAATGTGCACCTCTGCCTACCTCTTCGGGGATAAAAGGTGTGATGTTATTTTAGGTCATCTATCTATGTCACGTAAGATATTTGTGTATAAGAATAAGGTTTTTTAATTAAACATTCCCTCATAGCCTCAAGTTTTGGATTCAATTCACTTTAATATTCATTCTGTAATGTGCTAAATGAATTAAAATATTCATGGAACTCGTATTTGTGGAACTAAAACTTTTAGTTGTCTTTGTTATTCCTATCATTTTGTTAATGTTGGACTTATTACAAGGGTATGTATTGCGTAGGGCATCAGTGACATTATTCTTAGGGTGAAACATACTATTAAATACGAAATAACGAATAAGTTCCTAAAAGTCAAAACATTTATTGTAAGAAAAGGCATTTGATTAAATTAAATTACATACTTTTATTACGTTTATCAAATTCACCAATTTATTGGTGAATTGATTATTTGACATGCCCATTTTTTAATTTTCTTTCAGATGTAGTTAATAGTAGTTATATACGTGTATTTATTTACATATAACATCACGCTTTATATCCCCAAAAAAGTATGACTGGGTTTTTCAGTAGTAGCATGGAGTCTGGGAATGTGCACGGTATATAGCAATAGGCTCACCCCCTATTATATGGGAGTCATAACATAAATAGTGAAAAGTGGGTGTTGTAATGTATAGCATTAGGTGCCGTAATGTACACCTCTTCCTACCCCTTCGAGGATAAAAGGCGTAATGTTATTAGAAAGAAAGAAAGATTATTTATTAGTAAAACATACGTATACATAAATCGAGTAATCAGACATGCAAGATGTTAAATATGTTGTGCGTCCATGTTTCGCCAATAGTGGCATACAAATTTTGTAGGTATAAAGATTATATTCAATTTCATTAAAATCAGCAGTTTGTACAATAATAGTCATTATTAAATTACATTACAGAGATAAACATTTGAATTTGATGTCACAATATTTCTAAATTAGGTAGTTACTTATATGATAGTCTAAAATAAATTTCGTCTAGTACATATATCCATTATTACGCAGTCAAATAGTGGTCCTTACAATAAGTCAATTTATTTACAAATCAATACTAAATTATATTATATATATATATTAGATATATATATTATAAATGAGAAAGTTTGTGTGTGTGTATGCTTGTTACTCAATGACGTCAAAACGGCTCAAGGTATCGGGATAAAATCTGGAATAGGTGTAGATTATGGTCTTTTTTTAAGGGGGGAAAATTATCGAATGACTGCTCCCGCCTGGATGAGGCGGGAGGGACTGTCAGACTTTTACTGACTAAAAACCACCCCGTTCCTTCTCCTGCACGTCGAGCCGGAGCCCCGGTTACCCGTTAGGTTCTCCGCGACTAGATTATGGTCTGGAATGGACAGGAGTATATATTCCACATGGGATCCTGGACTGGATAAAGACGCTGGTAGAAACTAGTACCTACTCTATAACTACGGAGCTACGAGAGTGCTACGAGATTTCGTAGCACTCGTAACTTGTCGCGGAGAACCTAACGGGTTACCGGGGATCCGGCTCGAAGTCAGTAAGAGTCTGACACTCCCTCCCGCCTCACCTAGGCGGAAGCAGTGATTCAATGATCCCCCCTCTCTCCCAAAAAAAGCACTCGTAACTTGATCATGAAACAACAACAAAATTGTACAGAAGTTAAGAAGTTATGCCTATCTGTTGTAACTTTTAATTTTTACTTATAATCCAATTCAAGAATCTTATCGCCTGTTGCATAATTTGTTTGAAGTATTTAAAATAATGCAATTCAATTCTCTTTATTTTTGTTTGTATGGGATAAGCTGGTAAACGACCAGACGGATTACCCGATGGTAAGCAATCGGCGTCGCCCATGGATACCCAGAGGCGTTACAAGTGCGTTACTGGCCTTTTGGCGTTTTGGGTATTAGGAATTTGAGAATATTTGGTGATTCAGGGATAGGGGGAGGGGGAAGTGGTAATTGGGCTTCCGGTAATCTTACACACACGACGAAACACAACGCAAGCGTTGTTTCACGTCGGTTTTTTCTAAGGCCGTGGTATCACTCCGGTCGAGCCGGCCATTCGTACCGAAGCATGGCTTTCCCACACCCGTAAATATTATGAAATAAGCTGATTATGTTCTTCGAATGGGTACTTTAGCTTAATTTGTTTTAAGATAATTATTTAACCAGTTCCAGAATATACAAAAAATATAAGTAATCCTTTTTTCCTTAATGCTTGAACCAAAAGAAGTATTTGTCTATTTATTTTCGTTTCACTGACTTTAAATGGTGAATGAAGTCTAATGATTACACAGATTGATATACCGATATTAATGTGAAGTTACTTATTAAAATAATTCTTGATACTAATTCTTAAATTTTTTCTTTTCATTTTTTTTAAACGTTGCCCCACACTATGGTTTTCTCTTGTGTCGTGAGTGCGTTTACAAACATACAAGTTCACATACATATCACACCCAGACCCGAAACACCAATTTGTGGATCACACCAAGTGTTGTTCCGTGCGGGAATCGAACTCGCGACACGTTGCACAGCAGCCGGTTCTCCAGCCACCGCACCAGCCGTGCAGTCGCGTGCGACCGTGCAGTGAGCAGAGCGCGTGAAACCGCGCAGAAGTAGCTAGTTTAAATATAGATTTCTTATTCTTGTGTTTTTGAATGGTGAGTCTCTAATGACAACGCAGCAGGTTGCTACCTATGTACGTACGTACATTGACAAGAGACAACTCACGTTCTATTACTATTCATATTTTTAAAATGTTTGTAATAACGTGGATATATTATTTCTTTACTTCTTTGATTATAACATTGCAAAAACTATGAACACGAATAAAACAAGTAACACTCGGTAATGATTCTCATTCATATTTATTTATGGCTTTCCATTCCTTAAATCATTCTCGTGACAATTTTGTACACATAACTCACATATTACACATAATTGTACACACAAAATAAATAAATAACTTTAAATAAATACTTAATAATAGTCGCACACTTCGCAAATACATCAAGACAAGTTGTGTCTGGAATCATGTCCAGAAGTCGTCGTGATGTGGTTGCTTATTGAGTGCACGAGAACCGAACTGATTGTTCAAGCAGCTTGAGCATTGGCGTGCGCGGAGCCGGAGCCGGACGAGTTCGCGTGGGAGTTGGTCACTCTGTAGGAGGTGTTCACTCCCTGCGTCCTGGCAGAGGAAGCGGCGTTACCAAAGCCGTGCGAGTGAGCGTCCGTGGAGATCCTGGAACCGCCATAGTACTGGCCGGACCTGGCGTTATTGTATCCGTTCACATTGGCGTTGGCATTGGCAGAGCCAGCACCGTGCGAGTTGGCAGAGGACTGGGCGATACCATGTCCAGCAGACTGGCTGTCAGCGACTGACTTGGCGGAGCCGTAGCCATTGACGTCAGCGTTCGCGTTGGCAGCACCGTAGCCGTGTGTGTGTGCGGCAGACTTGGCGGCGCCATAACCAGCGTTGGTGTTGGCTTGAGCATGCGCGGAGGCAGGAGAGTCGTACAGAGTGCCGAAACGCCAAGAGATGGTCCTGCCTTGGTGGCCGATCCTAGCTGATGAGGAAGCGGAGCCGGAGCCCATCACGTTCGCGTTGGAGGAGGCAACACCCTGAGCAGCTACGGGTACAGCGTAAGGAGTGTAGAAGATCGGAGACTTGG